TTGTGAGTGTTTGTGAGTGTTTGTGAGTGATTGTGAGTGTTTGTGAGTGATTGTGAGTGTTTGTGTGAGTGTTTGTGAGTGTTTGTGAGTGTTTGTGAGTGATTGTGAGTGTTTGTGAGCGTTTGTGAGTGTTTGTGAGTGCTTGTGAGTGTGCGTGTGTATGTGTGTGCGTGTCTGTGAGTGTTTGTGAGTGTTTGTGAGTGTTTGTGTGCTTCTGAGTGCTTGTGGTTGTGCGCACTTTTGCTCTTGCTGGGATTGTGGGCGCTTTTGTTGGGCTTGTGGTTCTTGTGGCTGTGGCTTGGGCTTGTGGGCGCTTGTGGGCGTCCTTGCTGGGCTTCTAAGTGGTTGTGCTGGGCTGTGGGCGCTTTTGCTGGGCTCAGCACTTGTGGGTGGGCGCTCTTGCTGGCCTGCTCTTGCTGGGCTTGTGGGCGCTTTTGCTGGGATTGTGGGGCTGGGCGCTTTTGCTGGGCTTGTGGGTTCGTGGCGCCCGCGTGCGCCCACATGCGCCCACATGCACTCGCGTCAGCCCGTTTTTCCCCCGTTTTTTTTGCCGCCGGGCCGTTTTTCGACACACAAGTGCCCAAGTGCCCACAAACGCCCACACACAAGGCTATGCACTGTTGTGGGCTCCGACACAAGCCCAGCAAAAGCGCCCACAAGCCAAAAAGAGCGCCCAAACCCCAGAAGCGCCCGCAAGCCCACGCCCAAGCGCCTACAAAAGCCCAAGCGCCCACAAAATCCCAAGCGCCCACAAGCGCCCAAGTCTTACAAGCCCGGTAAAAGCGCCCACAAGCCCAGCAAAAGCGAAAAGCGCTTTTGCTGAGCCTGTAAGGGCTTGCTGGGCTTGTACGCGCTTTTGCTGGGCTTGTAAGCGCTTTTGGCTACGGGATTTTGCTTATGGGCGCTTCTGGGCGCTCTTGTTGGGCTTGTGGGCTCTCTTGGGCTTGTGGGCGCTTTTGCTGGGCTTGTGGGCGCTTGCGCTCTTGCTGGTGGGCGGTTTTGCTGGGATTGTGGGCGTGAGAGGGCGGTTGTGGGTGGGCGCTCTTTCTGGGCTTCTGCGCGCTTTTGTGGCTTGTGGGGCGCCCACATGCGTGCCCACATGCGCCCACATGCGCCCACACGCGCCCGCATGCACTCGCGTCAGCCCGTTTTGTCCCGCTCGTTCCCGTTTTTTTCCCGCTTGTTCCCGTTTTTCCCCGTTTTTTCCCCGCTCGATCCCGTTTTTTCCCGTTTTTTCCCGCTCGATCCCGTTTTTCCTTCTTTTCCCACAATCACCCAGAAGTGCCCACAAGCGCCCACATGTTTCATCCGTTTCGCTTTTGCTGCACTTGCGCTTGTGGGCTTTTGCTGGGCTTGTGGGCGCTTTTGCTGGGCTTAGGCTTGTGGGCGTTGGCGCGTGCTCGGGCGCTTTCTTGTGGACGGCTGGGCTTGGCGATCTTGTGGGCTTGTGGGCGCTTTTCCTGGCTTGCGGGTGCTTGTGCTGGGCGCTTGTGGGCGCTTGCGCGCGCTTTTGCTGGGCTTGTAGGCGCTTTTGGCGAAGCGCTTTTGCTTACGGGCGCTTGTGGCGCTCTTGTTGGGCTTGTGGGCCTTTGCTGGGCTTGTGGGCGCTTGTGGGCTTTTTGGCCGCTTTTGCTGGGCTTTCTGGTAGGCGGTTTTGCTGGGATTGTGGGCGTGTGTGGGCGGTTGTGGGTGGGCGCTCTTGCTGGGCTTGCTGGGCTTGTGGGCACTTGTTGGCGCTGTTGCTTGGGCTTGCGGGCGCTTGTGGGCGCCCTTGCTGGGCTTTTAAGCGCTTTTTGCTGGGCTTGTGGCTCAGCACTTGTGGGTGGGCGCTTTTGCTGGGCTGCTCTTGCTGGGCTTTGCGGGCGCTGTTGCTGGGATTCTGGCTGGGCTTGGCGCTCTTCTAGGTTTGTGGGTTTCTTGGGCTTGTGGGTTCTTGTGGGCGCTTTTGCTTGTGGGTTTGTGGCGCCCACATGCGCCGACATGCGCCCACATGCACTTGCGTTCTGCCGCTCGTTTTTTCCCGTTGTTCCCGCTTCTCGGGTTGCAACCCACCATCGCCCAGAAGTGTATTCCTTTAAGATGCACACAAGCCCAAAGGCTGCAACGTTGTGGGCTCACTTCCTCGAACAGGTGGCAGCCTTGCTGCACTTTTGCTGGGCTTACGGGCGCTTGGGCTTGCTGGGCTTGTTGGTGCTCTTTGTGGGCGCTTTTGCTGGGCTTGTGGGCTGGGCTTGTGGGCGGCTGGGCTTGGCGCTCTTGTGGGGTTGTGGGCACTTTTTCTGGGCTTGAGGGTCTGGCCGCTCTTTGCCTTGTGGGCGCTTTTGCTGGGCTTGTAGGCGCTTGCGGGCTTGCTGGGCTTGTGCGCGCTTTTGCTGGGCTTGTGGCTTGTGGGCGCTTTTGCTGGGCTTGCGGGCGCTTTTGCTGGGCTTGGGCGCTTGTGCGTTCTTGCTGGTGGGCGGTTTTGCTGGGCTTGTGGGCGTGTGTGGGCGGCTGTGGGTGGGCGCTTGTTGGCGCTGTTGCTTGGGCTTGTTGGCGCTTGTGGGCGCTTGCTTGGGCGGGCGCTTTTTGCTGGGCTCAGCACTTGTGGGTGGGCGCTTTTGCTGGCCTGCTCTTGCTGGGCTTGTGGGCGCTTTTGCTGGGATTGTGGGGCTGTGCTTTGGGCGCTTTTGCTGGCTTGTGGGCGTTTGTTGGCGCTTGCGGGCGCTCTTGCTGGGCTTGTTGGCGCTTTTGGGCGCGTTGCTGGGCTTGGTTCTTGTGGGTGCTTTTGCTGTTTGGGCGCTCTTGTGGGCGCTTTTGCTGGGCTTGTGGCGGTGGGTGTTTGTAGGCGCTTTTGCCGGGCTTGTGGGCGCTTGGGCTCTCTTGGGGTTGTGGGCGCTTTCGCTGGGCTTGTGGGCGCTTTTGCTGGGCTTGTGGGCGCTTGTGGGCGCTTTCGCGGGGCTTGTGGGCGCTTTTGCTGGGCTTGTGGGCGCTTGCGCGCTCTTGCTGGTGGAAGATGCCTCAAAGGAGTCAACTGCTTCAAGACGACGAGGGCGCAAACCTAGGCCCAAAGCAAATGTGTCTGATCTTTGGGAAAAGGCCCTGCTTACCCTTAATCCAAACCGGTTGTGGGTGGGCGCTCTGGCTGGGCTTGTGGGCGTTTTTGCTGGGCTTGTGGGCGCTATTGACTTATAACGCTTGTGGGCGCTTGTGGGCTGCTAAGAGCTTTTCTTTTGCTGGGCTTGTGGGCGCTTGGGCGCTTGTGCGCGCTCTTGCTGGACTTGTGGGCGCTATTGCTTTTTGCTAGGCTTGTGGGCGCTTGTGGGCGCTTTTGCTGGGCTGGCCCTTGTGGGCACTTGTGGGCGCTTTTGCTTTGTTGCTCTTGCTGGGTTTGTGGGCATTGTGGGCATTGTGGGCGCTTGTGGGCGCTTGTGGGCGCCGGTTTTTGGGGCGCTCTTGCTGGGCTTGGTTGGCGCTCGTTTTGGGGGGCTCGTGGGTGCTCTGTTTGCGGGCAGGGTTGCGGGGGTGGGCTTGTAGCTCTTGGCTTGGTGGGTGGTGTTGCGGGCGCCGCGCTTTTCGTGGGCTTGTGGGTGCTAGTGGGCACATGCGGGCTCTCTCTTGGTTTGCTTCCATGTGGGCGCATGTGGGCGCTTGCTTGTGGGCGGAAGTGGCGCTTGCTTGGCGGGCGCGTGAGCGCATGTGGGCGCTTGTGGGCGGATGTGATGAGTGCTTGTGGGCGCTTGTGGCGCCAGTCAGTCTGGGTGGGTCATGAACGCGTGCGGGCGGAAGTCTTGGCGGTGTGGGCGGTAGCGTTGCGGGCGCTCCAGTCATGGGTTCATAAGGGCGCATGTGGGGCTGAACTGTTTTTGCGGGCGGTTTGCGCCCTTGTGGACGCTTTTAGCTGCCATGGTGCGGGTACCGGCACTTGCGGTTGCTTCTGGGCGGCGTTTTTGGGGGGTCGCCTTCATGCGCATGTGGGCGCTTGTTGGGCGGCAGTGTTTAATGCCTTTCATGGGCGCTTGTGGGCGCTCTTTTGCGGGTCTTGTGGGCGCACGTGGGCGCTTGTGGGTGGAAGTGTTGCGTGCGGTCTCCACGAGTGTGCATGTGGGAGCTTGTGTGCGCTCAGCTTACGTTCGGATGTTTAGATGTTGCAGTGATCAGTACAAGAGTAAATCACGTCGGCATGTTCTTGAGACGCGCTGAGCCAGCGTCGACTTTGGGCGCTTGGGCAGGTTTGGGATCTGGGTTTTTTGGTGTTTTTCCTGTGTTTTCCCGTGGCTTCAAGTTTTTTTCTGGAGGGCAGAAGGCCCCCACAAGCCAAGGCCCCACATGAAGTTTGCTGGCTACCACAAGGATTAACGGAAAAGTCAGACAGATGACAGCTCCGTCAATAACCGCACGGGCCGGTTTGTGCCGAAGTCACGTTGAGCTGGTCCTAGAAAGAAGGCTGTTGGTCCCCCTCAACTGGTCGCAATCAGTGACGACCTGGGACCCTGTCCAGCGTCCTGGGTGCCAGTCCGGAAAGGTCGCACCACAACAATTTGAAGTACCAGCGGTCACACCAGGACTCGATCCCGGGACCGGCTTCCCAGACTGGTCCCAGGACCAAACCCCGGTCCTGGGATTGGTCCCAGGACCGGTCCCTCCCGGGACTGCTGACCGGTCCCGGGACCGGTCCCAGCACCGGTTTGGCTGACTGCAAGTAATCTGAAACAGCAGAACCAGGGTCCCAGGACCAGTCCCAGGACCGGTCCCAGGACTGGTCCCAGGACTGGTCTCAGGACCGGTCCCGGGACCGGTCCCGGGACCGGTCTCCACTTTTTGTGGGTTCGGGCGTGCCCCCCAGGGACTATCATTGATTCCAATCACTTCCAGTTGCATCCCACGCCGGTCCCCTCTGCAGGAGGCTGGGACGGGAGGCAGAGGGTCGGCGGATTTCAAGTCTGTGAAGCATGGACAGTGTGTTTTTGTTTGTCCACCCCATTTCGGGCTGGCTGCCATGCATCACATAGTTATTATTTTCAGGCCAGTTCGGTTGAACATAGTGGGCCCTGGTTTGAGCGTAACATTTACCTATGCCATCTATGTGTTTATGACGTATGGCTAGTTCTAAAGCCGACCTTTTGACTTTGGGTGTTCCCTCGTTGCATTTGTAGTAATGTGTCCAGAAGGTTCACCTTTTTTGGTCCAAACGGCCCATGTGGGGTAGGCATCATCTTCTGAGTAACCAACGGTCATTCCATGTATCACGGATTTGATCAACCCCTAACAGGGCTCCTCAAAAGATACATTGTGCCCATTTGAAACCTGTTTTTTTTCACCAAAATAAAGGGACACCTGCATTTACAAGGCAATGTTCAGGTGTATAATGTAAGGATCACTGCCCAACTGAGAAGTCATCCAAGGAGAACCTTTACAGCGAAGAGACGTGCCTTTCCGACTTCTCCAAAGGCCACTTCGAGGAGAGTGCCGTCATGGTGCGTCGGCCGCGAGACCATGTGCTGTCCCAGTACAAGTGCACCGGCGTAACAAGTAATTTTCTTGACTGCTATTGGGTTGGATCTTTAGACTTCTTGGTTGGTTGGATTGGTGGGGATGTGAGAGGGTTCCAGAGGCAGATGGGAAGCCAGCCCTAACCTCCAAACCACCAACCCACACCAGCTAGAGGGAAGCAGAACATGCTTGAACTTGTTTGGCCAATTCAGGTCCGAAATCCCCTTGATGTCTCTGAATCGACTTGTTGATGAGTGACTCCGTGCCCGATTTCTCTTGGACACCAAACATGCCCTCCGGAAAAGACACACCCCAGCGGGTTGCCTCCATTTGCCTGAGAATATGTCTTATGTTAAATTGAGCTTCCTCCATTTGCCTGACAACCGGACTTGTTTGACCAGACGAAGCCGCAAATGAGCCACAATCAAAACCCGGGTAAGTGAAGGTTAGTAAGGGACGATCCCAGCCATAGATGGCTGCGCCCGCATTCTTAGTTCTTTACATGGTTCTGGGTCGACCATTTTGTACCGGGTTTTGATTGTGACTCAAATGGTTTTACTTTTGCCGTTACATTTGCTGCCTCCAAACTGTTTTCTAGAATTCGGCTGGTGTTTTCGCGCTCAAATGGAATCGGGGGAGAGTCCGACCTCTGGAATTCCATTGCCATTCCACCCCCGCCCCCTGCCACGAGCGAGGCGGAGGTGATGCTCCCTTCAAATCACAAAGATGTACTCGTGGAATTCCGTGTGTACTCCATCCAAAATGAGTTCCCGATTTGGGACACTTTAGGATGGGCAAGGAAAGTGAGTATAAAGGTGATGGTCTACCAGGTGTTTTTGAATTCCTCACTCAGGGTGCGTTCGGAGTTGGGGTTTGAGGCATTGCGCCAATGGCGGAGGGCCCCGTTATCACGCGATCGTTCACGCCATGCACGCCCTTCCTGGAGAGCCGAATTGCAAACTCCCGGACACCTTCCAGGCATGGGTGGCTTATTGGCATAGCCATTTCAGGCGGGCTTGGTTTAAGACATGTTTTTCTTGTTGTCGCTTTTGAAGGCAAGCCTTTCAAACAGGTGTTCAAACAGGTTTAAACAGATCTGTTCAACCCTTTCAGGGACTCAGGCCCCAGCAGCGCTTATAGGCACCCCTTCAAGTGCTACATCCCCTGGAACCGCCAGAGCTGGCAATTGACGTGTTCTGATCGCTTCTTGATGAATCCGGTCGACGAAGACTCCTCCATCAAGGCGATGCAGTCTGCCACGCTGCTGGGAGTGGTCGAGGCGATGCACGAGTCGGTGTGCCTCTTTTCAGCTCCTCACTTGAACCCATCTTTTTACCTGGAGTCTCCATGACCCTGTAAAAATGGGTCCATGACCCCTTTATTTTGGGTAATGACCAACCATTTTTAAAGGGTCAGAAGGAGACGCCAGATACCTGCTTTGGCCCACGGGTCAGTTGCTCGCCTGTTGTGTTTGCCACCGGAGGACTTTCCAGGGCTGCGATTTAGGGTGGGTTAGGTCACATCATGGCAACTCACGGGCCCCGAGGCGAGTCGGAACCAAAAATCTTGGCAGTAGACCGGCCTACCCGAAACCGTGCGACCATGAATTCACCTCACAAGTGGTTGGACATGAATCCCCGCCTACATGATGTCTACCAAACGATCCCCAATGAAAATTCAGCACCCATGTCGGGTTGGGAAGTTGGGACTTTTCCACCGTGAGTAAAAATCATTTAGCATACCCAACCAATGGGTGCACTCAGCAAGGGAGATGGATGCACTGGGGAGCCATGTTCGAACTGATCGGTCACCCATGCAATTCTAATGGATGAGCGGGACCTCTTTCTTTGCCGCTCTCGGTCATCAGCATCCTTCATTTATTTCATATAAGATGCCACAGATTCTTGACCGAGACATGGGAGACACAAGGGAGGACAACTTGCCTGTAGTTGTCTCTCTTGTTTGTCCCATGTCTCGGCATGAAGTGTCGTTTACCTTCCTTTACACTCATTTTCTATCCCCAACTGCGTCAGATGATGAAGGAAGGACGCAACATCTCTCCCCCAATTCCCTCGTGCTTTCGATGTTTGTATTGTGCACCGCGCCAAAGCGAGACTGACTCTGACCAACCCAAAGTCCGCAAATGTGTCACTCTCAATGTAGAAGTTTGCATCTCGCACCGCAGCACAGCGAGAGCAACTCAACGCGCGCAGAGGGTCACCTCTTGATGTTCCAGTCCGCGCAACGAGACGATCCGAGAGGTAACTTTCGATGTTCAAACTTCGCGCCACAGCAGCAGCGATTCAAGGTGCCCACGCAGGGGGTGCACTTTGAAAATTTGCACCGCGCCACAGCGACTGTGATTCAACACACACAAAGTCCTCCAAGGATGTAGCTTGATGTTTAATATTCGCCCCGCGCCTGTGGCGCGAGCAGGCCAGACCGCGCCCGCCAAATACACCTGCGCGCCCGGACCTTCCCATGTGGCCCTGCCCAGTTGAAATGAGCGAGGCTCGCATCGGTGCCGCGATCTGGACACCATGCCAACCTCTGACTGTTAGAACCCCTTCGTGTGGGGGAACTTTGCAAAAATGCACCTGGGTTGTGGGAAAGCGGGCAATCCTGCTCGAGCAAGTCGTCTTGCACATTAGCTATATGGTTCATGGCTGCAAAGCAAGGTATGCCATGCTTGCATGCAAAGTCGGTACTGATACGATCTCTGCACATTTGTTGTGCCCCAAGCCTTTAACAAGCTCGCTGTCAGCAGAGGCTTAGCTTATATACAGCCAGCCAAGTAAGGTGCTGCCGCAATGCAATGCACAAACTTAAATATTGCAGTGAAGCGCAAACCACACTAATAATCGCCCCTTTACTTCTCATTCTAATCATCATCATCATCATCATCATCATCATCATCATCATCATCATCATCATCACCATCATCATCACCATCATCATGAGGTTTATCTTCATCATCACCATCACCATCGCCATCATCACCATCACCATCGCCATCATCACCATCACCATCACCATCACCATCGCCATCGCCATCATCACCATCACCATCGCCATCGCCATCATCACCATCACCATCACCATCACCATCTCCATCATCTTCATCACCATCACCATCACCATCGCCATCATCACCATCACCATCACCATCACCATCGCCATCATCACCATCACCATCACCATCACCATCATTTCTTTGGGACCAGTCGTGGGACCTGTCCCAGAACCAGTCCAGTGCTGCCGGTCCTGGCTCTCGCTGTAGGCCAGTCCTGGCCCATCCCGGGACCAGTTCCAGGACTGGGTCCTGGGACGACCGGTCCCAGGAATCCACGTTGTGTGCGGGAAAGCAAGAAGCACCATCAAGTTTCATACCACGCCGCTCCCCTCTGGAGTGAGCTGGAGAACAGGAAGAAGGTCGGTGGAGTGTAGTTTCCCGGTATACGCTCTCACAGTTCAACTAAGACCACTGGTACAGTCCAACAGCCCGAGACATGTTGCGCAAAATGTGTTCTATTGTGGGGGCAAGGGGGTTGCCCGGGAAGATGGGAGTCACTCCCTCCCCCCCACCCAGTCACAGGCAACCAACCATTCATTCACCGCCTAACCGTATGCCTTGTTGCAGAAAGTTGCACAGCATGCTGCTCCCAGCCAGCATTGCTTATTTTTTAAAAGGTAAGTATGGCCTACAAACAACAACACAAAGTAAATGTGGCAGGTTTTGTAAGGGGCGGGCTGATCATACACAACACACAAAACCCGCCGTGTCAGCCTGCGAGATTGGCTTGCTTGAGACTCTGTTTTCTGAGCATCCCAGACTCTAGAGCCTAGAGCATCTCACCAATTGTTTGAAGTCTTTGGGTCAAATCGTGAAATTTTGACGGGGGGGCATGGGGAAGGAGTCTATCCCTTATTGACCTCGTAATGAGGCCCCATTAAGGGCTCACCTTTGGCTTATCCTGGCATAGCCCCCCATCTCCACGTCAAAGGCTCGGCTGAAGGGCAGCCTGCCGGCGCATTGCAGCTGCGAATCCAGTGACTGGAGCTCCTTCGTGGAGTACCACGAGGAGAACGTGATGTTCGTAACATTCACTTGCCCAAAGCGACCCGACCTTGCGACCTTCCGATTTTCCGATTTTGAGAACCATCCTTCGGAAAGGTCCCAAACGGTGATCATCTGTTTTTTCCAGGTCCTTTGGGCAAGTGAGAACACGGGCGGGTGGTCTTAACCTCGTGTGAACGCCTTCATCTGACCTGTACCCCACCACTGTCAGCCTTCTTGTTCTTTGATTTGCATTTTCATGGCTTGGACAGGTGCCGGGGGTGCTTCCCATGCAGCCGTAGACTCTACAAGAGCCAGGGGTTCAAACGCCAAGTCACCAATAAAAACTGCAAATTGAGGGTCCCGATATTTCGCCTTTGGCCTCTAAAAGCCACCTTTTGGGCCGATGTAAATTGAGTTCCTTCTGAGAGTGATGTTGAAAGGGGAAGTCTAGGCAGCCTTGGCTTTCCTTTCTTGCCGACCTTTCTCTCCCAAGCTTTTCCAAACCAGTTGTTGAAGCTTCCGTACGTTCCATGGATTTGCGGGTCCTGGGCCTGCCTTGGGGGTCATGAATAATAGAAAGTGTTTCCCGAGAGAAAATCCGGGCGCAAAAACATTAAATTGTAGCACCTTTTACTTTCCAAATGGGAGGGGTTTATCAAGGCAACATACAACGAAGTTTGTGTGTAGGGGGCAATGGCCGCGGAATCAATCTGGTTGAATCAAACATGACTGCGGGATGTCCTCAAATGGAGGTAGGGAACTGTACAGTGACTCGTCCAAACAGACACTGCAATTTGGTGGCAATACTTCGGTGGAAAACACCAGAATCCTCGCACAACGTGTGAATTCCAACGGAAGAGGTCGCTCCTTGACTGGATTTATCCAAAAGTCCTATGCTTGTAGGGGGAGCCCTACACCCCCAGACTCTTCCCGTGATCCCATTTCTTTGGATCCAAAGTGTTTAAACCTGCGGCCCAAGCTGGGCTTGGGTCAGGATCATGGCTCGCAGTACGAAGCGGCCATCGAGGACTTCGACGAGACGGTACTACAGCAGGCCCATTTTCATGAGCCCTGACGCTTGGGCTCTCCTCCAAAATGGTGCTGTATCTTGCCCAGTTCCCAGTACCCTCGGACTTTTAGATTTTAGCGTTTCACGGAGATTTGTCGCGATCCCACTCAAAGTGTCACGTTTGGCAAAGGATCGGTGAAACGCGAAGTTAGCATCAGTTCAAGCCCCGGTGTGCTTCGCACAGTTGCCGCAGGGGATATATAATATATATATATACAGATGTATTTGCACCCTTGCGTGAAGCGACAAACGGGTTTGTCTTAAGATTCGGGAACCCTCGCCTCGCCCCCAAAACGGTCTCCCCATCTTCCTTTCGGCTTCCAACTTCAACACCAACTACACGGAGGCTTCCCTAAGTGGAATTGTGCCGACCTTGGCTTAGTTCCACTCGACCAGAGGGGTTTGTTGCGTCATGTTGCGTCCAAGTGAAATGCGGAACAACCGGGTTACTCCAAGCTCTTTGCGGAACCCAGGCAGCCTATACAGCAAGAGGGGCCCAACCAGCTCAAGCTTTGATTTGAGATTTCGCAGAGACAGAAACACCGTCGCAACTATCCATGCCCACGCCGAGGGTACCGCGTTTTGGAAGGGTTTCAAGGGAAAACGCGTCCCCTTAGGGAAAACCCCCCCATTTGTGTGTGTGTGACGGGGGGCTGCCCCTTTGACAGGATGAGTTGGGTTTCTTCGGCATGTGTTATCTTTCCTTGTCTGGTTGGTTGGCTAGACAGGGAAGCGCATGTAGCCCGCCCAAAGAAAATGGGTGGAATGTGTTGAGCTGTCAGATGGACGTCCCTCAAACAAAACACGCCATTGCTCAGGAACTTGGGTTGCCCTTGCCGCAGGAATCTTCTTCAAAACTAGTTTGATTTTTTAGGGGGAGACTTCATTGACAGACCCAGAATCTGAGCATCTGATTTTTGAGTCGCCCATTTTTTGGGGCCAAGGCCGTCGGGAAAAAAAAGGATGCCCAGACCGACACACACACACTCAGTTGTTCAGTGGCCCCCTTTTTCCATTTTTTTTTTGGTGGCTGCCCCACTAAAATGGTCTTCCCAAAAAAGGGTTCCCTTTTTCCAGGGTCGCTGAACAACTGAGCACAACACAGTCTGCGACCAAGCTTTTGACAAGCACCGCTTGGAGAATGAAAACCTGATACTGTCCGTGCCTGTGGATTCCACACGCTGAGCTGGAAATCCTTTGAGAAAAGTCGTCTTACAGGCCTTGGAAATCCCTGGAGTCTCCATGGCCGTTGAAAAATTGGTCCATGACCCCATGATTTCGGGCAATGACCAACCATTTTTTGGGGTCAGAAGGAGACTCCAGCCAGAGGGGGGGGGGTTGGGGGGGGGGAGAAAACGACCCTTTGGCCCAACCCGGCAGGTGGACGACCTGACCAAGGTCGATCGGCCCATGTACCAGGCCGCCGTGAAGCGCTTCATCGGCGACCTGGGCCAGGTGGAGCGAAAGTTCGGCACCAAGATCCTTTGCCACTGGCAGCGGTTTCGGTCAGAAATCCGTGTGTTAGGGTGACATCAGCAACTGTTACCCTTCTTTGGGGGAGGGTTCCCCTACTAAATGGACTACAGAAAAAAAAAGGTACCCTTATTCTAACCTCTCTACTGGAGGATAGGCAAGCCTTTCTGGGGCATTTCCCCAAAAGGCGGGGGGGTATAAGGGGATACCTTCGCTCCTTGTACTTGAGCACAAGCCAAGTTGTTCGCCCCATTTTCCTGGGGGTAGTGGAGCCAATGCGATTTGGTGCAAATCGAACATTGGAACCAAGGAAAACCTCCACGGGTTGGACCGATGCAACACAGCCAACTGACAGCTGAAAAAACTGAGGCGACGCCCAGCGAGAGAAGCTGACCCAACTGGCGCAGCTATGAGAGCGGGACACGAAGCGGAATCTGAACATGGGTGTGTGTGTGTGTGTGTTTGTCTTTTTTTGGGGGGCCTTTCAAAATGGCTTCGGTTCTTTGTTCTGGCTTTTTTCATTTAAGACTAGCGGAGAAGGGGCACCCTCAAAAAACACCCCGACATGCAAGTGTGTGTGTGTGTACCCTGTTGGGCCATATGTTTGGCGCTTTTAGCGCTTTCCTGGATCGCCAATCAGCAGACAGCCGGGCGAGCAGGAAGCAAAAGGCGGATCTTAGCTTCAGCCGCGGGAAATCTGGGCTGATACCTTGTGGCTCCCGGCCATCCCCTTAGCCTTTTAGCCTTTTATATAGCCTTTTAGCCTTTTAGCCTTTTAGCCTTGTAGTGTTTAGAGGTTGGGTTTCCATTTGACCCACATGTTCGCTGTCAGTTGGGTCAGGAAGCGGGCACAGATACTTTGCGTCAGCAAAGCTGGTGCCTCCACTTCCGAGGCCTCTCTTTTTTTGATGCCGGGGACCGCCCGAAGGCTGGCTTGAAGGCTGGTGCAACGCCTCAAGTGCTTCCATGTCTTTAAGAAGATGGCTTGCTTCCCCTTGTTGGTTTTGGGGGGAATGTGGATTGTTTTTTTTGTTTTTTGTTTTTGTGTGTGGGGACGAAATGGATTGGACAGGGCCTTGAAACCAATGCGGCCGGTGACCAACGATTTGTTGGAGTTTTCCCATTTAGACACTAGGTCAAGGGAGTCAAGTTGCGCTGGCCTGCCCAAAACAGAGTCCAGAATCAAAAGGGCGGCCGCATCTAATTGTTGGGACTACCCTTTGCTACCCTTCACCTCGCCCTGTTCATGGCCAAAACCAATCCTGAAACAGGGTTCCCTATAGCTATTTGGCCGTGGGTCAACAAAAAAAATGGTACCATTTTGGGATAGGTGCACCACCCATTTTAGTCCATTCTAGTGAGATTGGGATGTTCACTGGGGGTACGGGGCTTTGACCCATGGCCATTTAGGCTCTGTTGAAACGCGCAAGGCGCCTCAAGTGCGAATTCCCTTTTCTCGCGAACCCTGGGCTGGGCAAATATCTGAAAGAAGCGCACTCTGCCAGCAGCGAGCTGACCCGTGAGGGCTCCTTCCCCTCCAAGAGACACCCATAGAATATCTTGACTGCTATTGGGCAACGGATCTTTAGACTTTCACTTTTTTGTTGACAAGTGAAACTGTTTGCAGGGGGGTCAACAGCAACCAGGATATCTGCAATAAAAAACAGACGCGCCTTGAGTAGGATTGGCGGAGGATTCAACTACCCTTGATTGATTAATACAGAGTGTCTTGCTTAAACTTCACCTTTAGCAAGGGAAACACAGCCCCCCATATTATTTGCAGTGGCAGAGTTTTGAGTGTATAAGTGATTAGCATCCATGGTTATTCCCCACTTACCATAGTTGTAGATCCCCTGAGTAGGCTATTTGCCCATGGTTGCCACTTTTGTACAAACAGGACCCAAACAATTGGAATGGGATGGGGAGTGTTCTTGTCAATTTAGCCATTCCAGAGTTGATCTTGTTGCTGCACTGCCCCATTTCATTCGCGCTGAGGGGCTCTTCATAGTGCTGCTGCCGCAAGCTCGGAGGGTATCTTGAGAATTCAAACCTCCAGGATTCCTTATTCCCGGAGGATCCAAATGACCCCCCAAAGACCCCAAATAGGGTCGTGGACGAGGAGGGGGGGGGAGTCAAATAAAAGAAAGAACGCCAACTTCCGTTTTTGACGGATTCACGCTCTCTTGATTCAGTGAAAAACGATTCCCCGATCGGGGATAAAAAGAGCGAACCGTGCTTGAGGTCCTTGGGAAGAGAAAACAACATATTCTCACTCCCGGAATTCCTAGACTTTAAACTTTTTGGGAATACCAATTTAGTGGTAAATTAGAAGTTCCGTCTTTTTTGGCCATCCACTCAGGAAGTGAGGATTATTCTATGTACATTGAGGTTTGGATGACTTTCGGAGGGACACCACAAGTATGTTGAGGCTTGTTGGTTTCGGGATCTGCATATCACCCCAAGGACACATCGGAAGGATGGCCACTTGAGCTCAAGGACTATAAACACTTGGGATTTGGACCATGTGGCCTTTTCTCGAAAAATCAGATGTTTTTTTTGGGCCAAGCCACTCATGAAGATGACTCGGATCCAGCAAAAATGAGAGTCCAGGGGCCTCAGGGACCGAAGATGTGACCTGAACGACAGCTTTCTGACACATGAGGCTCGCAGATTTGGGGGATGCCCGGTTTGTGGGTTCAAAGGGAAACCAACAAAAGAAAACCACGATTTGAAAGGGGGTCCCCCAAACAAGGGAACATCCACGTGAATGAAATAACTCTCCTGTTGATTTACCTAGGATCTAGGTACATTTACCATTTGTACGTAGCGACATAGTGCCTCGACGGGCCTCCCATGCTGTTTTTTGCAGTTCTGGTTGGGGTGGGTTTTCAGGGTTTTTTTCTTACGAGTGCCGGGCTAGGTACTTGGTAAGTGGTTGGTGAACACGTTTCCCGCCCAATTAGGGGACCTACATCCCAGTTTTATACGCAGCGCCTTTTTCCCCTTTGGGAGGGTTCCCTCAAACATCAACTGAAGGATGCTCTTCTAAGCAGTGAGCCTCTGCGTGTACGGTACCATGGTTACTAGCCACGAAGCGCCCTGCCAGCCATTTCTTCTTCCCGGCGCCAAGGGTCCTCATGCTTGACCTGTGGCCTGTGCACAGCAAGGCGGGGGGAGGCAAGAGCGGGGAGTCATATCGTGGATGGACAAAGTCCACTTCGCACTAATGACGAATGGATGAAACCCTGTGAATGCTGGGAGAACTACCTACCAAGCGGTGCGAAGTGGATGTTGTTCATATATGCTGACCAAACAGCTGGTTTGCCGTTAGGCAAGGACATGCGGGACTCACTCGTTTCCCATGTCGCTGGCCGAATCAGAATCTGACCAACAGGGCAGGCCCTGATCAATGAGCACTCTTTGTATGAGGGCCCCTTCAGTGCTTTGCATGATATGTTGTTGGGGTTTGCAAACAGTGCTTGGTTGCATGCAACCGCGAGGTGCTGAAAATCGTACATCGCTACGCGGGTGTCTCCCCAGAAGACAGAGCAGCCATCCCTATGGAACGCACGGGAGCCAAAACAACAAGCTGTTCACTTGAGCCAAAACCCGGGCAGATGAAGCTTAGTAGGCAGTCCCAGCCAGAAATAGTTGCGGATATCCGCCTTTCTAATTCTTGAAGCATGGTTCTGGGTTCAGTTTTTTTTGGTACCGATCGGTTTTGAGCAAGTGACTCACTTTGTGGGTCATCGGCGCTGTGGACTCGAATGCCGGTTTTTTTTGCAACACAAAGGTGCCGTTCGGTGCGTGGGGGAGTTGCTGCAACCTGCGAGCTACGGAGAGGGATGTGTTTTCTTGGGGCAGACTATGGGAAGAGGTGTTCAATGTCTTCAAGCAGAGGGCCAAACGAGCGCAGAATTTGGCGAAATCCACGGCTGCACCTAAAATATCAGGGTCCGCTTTCTTTTGGGCACTTGCCAGTTGGGCCGCTTGTTTTGGTCCCACTCTCACCTGGAGTGTGGGTCAGTGAACAGACAACTTTTCACCGTAGATAGGCATCTAAATGTTGTCCACGATTTCATCGAGGACGCATCAACTGAGTTAAGAGCAACTTTGGTCAGGTGATCAAATTGGTCAAGGACTACTCCCTGCAGGCCGGAGGCGTGCAAGCATTTGCTTCGTCTTTCCCTTTGCCGGTGGTTGTAAATCTAAAAGCCAAAAACACGGAGAGTCTAGATCACGCAGAAGAACTGTTCAAAGTTCCCTAGGGGTGGTGAAAACTAAGCATGCCTCAGTTGGGATGTGTCAATTGCCCCGGTGATGCCAAGCAAGCACGTGGAAGATGCGCGGGTCTGATGTTGCAAGTTTCCTTTCGGAAGGGAACTGTCAGGTATGCTGCACAGTGCATTTGTTCTTGCGGCGGTGAACAATCATGTGTTTACTGTGTGTAGCATCCTGAAACCCATTTGTCCGAAGCTTTTTAGGCTTCGGGGATTAGTAAGCTCCTGGAGTCTGAAAGAAGGATGGCATGTTGTGTTGTTTGTTCATTTTACAATTCAAGCGAGACAAGAAGCAGGACACTTCAATTCCTCCGTTGCCCTGTTCGGACGCAAACCCAATTCATTGTGGGTGGACGAAATCCTGCACCACCTAAGAAACCCTAAAAGGCCAAAAAATGATGATTCCGTTGTAAATACCACCAAAGAATGGTTTCAACCATGGAAACAAAGTGATGCGAAATGGATTTGGTCCATGCACAGTAGCACCCCGTAGTCCTGCTTCGGCGCTCCGAGTTGCTGCCCTGCATCGTCTACGCCTTTGGGCGGTGGCAATGGTCAGGGCCTCAAGTTCGTGGGCGCGCAGAGGTACTTCCATTTCGGCGGCTGGGCTCTCTTAGGAATCGGCCCACCCAAAACGGTGGGTTTTCCTGTTGGTTTCCCTTCAAAGCTATCCAACAAAGGGTTAGCCTCAAAAGAGACACATCCATTTGCTTCAGGTTGAAGGGGGGAAGGGGGGAGGGGGGAAGGGGGGAGGGGGGAGAAGTCGACCCCGGAAGTCGACCCCGTGAGAGGAGTCTGAAGGTGGGGACCCACGGACCATGCCGGGACCCACCAAAAAAATGCCCTCGAAAAGGAGGGACTAGGGCGATGGAGCTTAATCAACAACTAAAAAGAACAATAATCAATTTCCTTTCCATTTCCTTCGCAGTAATCAGGGTATGCTCCCCCTACACCCTCTTTTGTTTGTCAACCAGGGGTCTATTCATTGGGGTCCCCATGAAAAAGGGCCTTAAAGACTTGCAACACCGTAGGCCACTTTGAGTGGAACCACTGGGAACCAGAAAGAACAACATGGATCCTCAAACTAGCACTGAAAACCAAGAAGCATCACCCCGTAATTTTTGAGGGCAATAAACAACACATTGGGGCAGTTTGAGGGTCCTTGTTTCCTCTCTCTTTTTTTGGGTTTCTCTTCAGCCACCAGTCATGACTTTGCTTGCTGGTTCTCATCAGGGAATGAGTTGGAATGACCCCGAAAAAATATATCCCCCATGCATGGTTTCCTTCAAGGGAAGTCGTAGGTTCATTCCCAAACCCTGGATCATTGCCTATTGAGCACCAACAAGTTTAAGGACATCCATTCAACACCCCTAATGTTGCAAAGGATCCTGTGGGAGTCGCCTGCCATTGCTGGCCTTTGAGCTTGTGGGGTTTTCTTGATATTCCCTGCCATTAAAGCATCACCGTAGGCTGGTGGCTTTTGGATGCATCGGTGATGCACTGCATATTTCTATGTTTAGAGGCTTGGTTGTCAAAATGGGTGTGGCTCAAAATTAAGCAGGAGGGGTTACGCAGGTTTTGGTCCATGTTTCCACTTACCAGGGTTCCATGTTGGGTACCGGTTTTTTCAGGAATCAGTGGGTTGGTGCGGTTCCACGTCAAAAGGGCGGGCGGGTCACAATGGCGGATGTAGGGATCGGAGTTTTCCGAATGCCGGTGCTCAGTAAAAAAGAAGAATTAGGGAATGATTACGTGGGGCTTCCCTTAAAGGAACACTATAGAAAATAGTTTCTTCCCCAAGTAGCCCCTTTCTTCCAGCCACTTTACCCACTAGCCCATACTTTGGCAACAGTAGCTGGAAAATAAATAAGGGCCACTGGGGATCGATCCAGGTAGGTGTGTCACAGGTTCTCTCTTGGTTCTGAAGGGACTCCATCACTTCTAAGACAAATCATATGTTTTATGTTGTTGTTTGCTTCTTTCTTTTTCCCTCGGGGGCTTAAGCAACTGGAAGTTAACTGGGGTCCTCCTCCAAAGCAAATAATATGATACAGAAAAAGCATAATCTGAGCATATTATGTTCTGTGCAGCCGGGACGTGGGCCAAGTAAGCGTCCTTTGTGCCATGGGCAAAAGACCTTCTCACTTGAGGTGACTAGGTCAGGGCTCCTTTAATCCAGACGATTCCCATCAAGAGAACCATGCTGACCTGCCAGTGGTGACGGAGTCTGCCTATTTCATGGAAATCGAGCTCACTTGACAAAAATCGAGCTGATCCTAATGGACCCTTACTTGGGGATCCCTCGGATTTCGGCTGACTGCAAGACTTGTAGATGAAGTAACATCAACTTAGGATCCCCTAGGTCCCAAGACCATTCTCCTTCATCCGCATTGCGTAGCGTGGGAAAGGAGTTGGAATCGTCGACATGTCTTGTTTGGAGGCGGTGTCCCTTTCAAATTCAACCACTTGGATGTTCGGCCAATTAGTCAGCTGGGGTTGAGGCCCCCAAAATCAAGGTTAACCACTCAGTTGCCAACAAGTTGCTAACTTGGCGAATCGAAGATCGTGCCAAAGTGGCCGTTGATTCAACAATGCCATGGCCACGGGAGATTTGGCTTGGGTTTGGACCTAGATCCATGCTGGTGTTTGCCGAGAATCCCCACCAAACGAATGTCGTACGTCAATGGGGCTCACCAGTGGCCGAGTCGAAATGGAGTTAAGCATCGCCAGGTTTCCAAGTTGAATACAATGAAACCTGGGTGGTTTAAGCTTGCTCAAATATGGAGCAGTACCAACCAAACAAGCATTTGGGTCCAGTTGCGGTTACTCTATGTCTTACCTCGGGGACGGCCCGTCTTGTAGTGTTTGCAAGGAACACAAAAAGGGACATTCCACACCGCAGGTTTCAACCTCAAATGAAGGCTTCCCGAGCTGGGTCTCCGCCCGCATTCTCTTTCGTATCACCTATCTTCACTCCGCTACTGGTTGGTTGCCCAGTGCTTCCAGGTACCACTACAGCAGGTAACCACCACTACAGCAGGAACCAGGGTTTCTTACCTCTAGGATTTTGTTAGTATAGTTTTTTCTTGGCTACCAACTATACTGATAACTGGAAACACTGGGATGGTCAACCTAGCTGATGTACCCGATCGCCCCTTTAAGTGAGACCCCAGACTCGAACCAAAACAAGCAAATAGTCTAGCCGCACGTGTTTTTGGCGACTTGTTTGGGATGTGGCACAGATGCCCGCCTTACTTTAAATCCTGCCCCTTCAAGTAGCCGAATGATCAACAGGGTTCCCCGTGCGCAAGGTTCCTCAACGGAACCAGCTCCACACTGAAAGAGTCGCCCTCCTGTGACGACAAGGCCGGGACTTTTTCCCTTGGACCACGAATGGTTCAATTCCTTGCTAAAAGTTAACATTTCCCTGGGATATGTCACAAATCCGTCTACCCTCAGAGCGTCATAGTCGAAGCGTATGGCTGTCAAAGCCCCACTTGGTTAGTGAATATCGCCAATGAGTGAGTCCCCCTGGGCTACAACAGTGTCGTGTACTGTATACTGGGCGTATTCACCACACCCAAGTAGGGTTTGTAAGGGTTCTTGAAAGGCTTCTTCAGGACAGGGGTCCCTCTTTCTCTCTTTCTCTCTATGCTGTTTACGCACATCTGGGCAAATTCTACTGGGCTCACCGGGCAAACGAGCTCACCCATGAAGGAAGTGGGGACCGGGGTCTTTCTCTCTCCCTCTATAATGGTCTCACGCAAAGCGGAGCTTATGAAGGTCTCTTTTTCGAGTTTTGAGTTCTATGCTCAACGGCCGTGGTTGCCAAAAGTAGGGTCACCTCAAAAAGGCTTGCCTTTAACCTGCAGTTCAACTCCTGGTGGTTTGATCTTGACCCATACCCCTGGCAATATGAGTGGTCTGTTTTTTTTTTTGGATTCGGCACGTGAAGGGGTCAACCCGAGTGTTCCCAACGCAGGGGGAGCAGGCCCTCGGAGCGGACCCTTGCGGGAAGATCGTCATTTTCGTCCGGGGCTCCCTTCTGAACTGACCCTGCCTCACCCTGCCTTTGGTTGTTGCCCCATTTCGGTGTTTCTCCAGAGTGTGACTTTGGGGTGGAGTGACTCCTCATTCTTTCAACAACTGACTTTTTCTCAACCAGTTCTTTCCCGGTGTTGTGTGACTTTCTGGAAAAAGCCCGGCCCTTGCCGAAGCACAGGTGGAGTACTACAGAAGCCTCAGGCGGCGAGAGAGATGCCGGCAGTTTGTGAACCACCCAGCACGGAAACACGCAAACACAAGCAGACGCAAATGAACACGAACGAGCAACGATGGCAACACCAACGAGTTTAAAGTAAATTAAACAACTAAATAAGCAACAATCAATCAACCAAACAAACAAACACACAAACACATGATAAAAAGTAAGTACAGACAGAAAGAAAGCAAACAGAAAGCAATAAGCAAACAAACGCAATCACACACGCAGACAGGCAGACACACACACACACAAACAAGCCAACACGCAAACACAAACAGACAAAAGCAAACAAACCCGAACAAAAAGACAAAGCCAAACTAAGCAACACCAAACCAACCCAACCCAAACCAAAATAAAGACACAATATAAGCACAAACACACAAACACATGAAAACAACAAACAACAACATAGGTAAATTGTTATACCACAAATAATGATATCATGTATCCTCAGAATGTGCATCCCAGCATTGCTTCTATGGATTGGGTTCCTGAACTCGTTCAGCATGTCTTAGGCCTATTCACTCCTCAACTGGGGGGCCGCTTTGGGTGGTGGTTGGAAGGGTCCCTGACAGACGTTTTTGGATGTGGATCGCATAGCGATTGTTCTTCACAGCCAGCGCTCTACAAGGTCTGCTATGTTTGTTCCCTTTTGGGGCATATTCACTTGTTGAGTTCATACTTTTCGGAAACACCATGTTAACGGTCAAGAACAGGGTCTGAGTACTTTGGCAAAGCCACTCAGGAAGCGAGGACAATATAAATCACCACCTGCGCCCCATGTTTAAGTCAAGCTTTCTCTGATTTTTTGGGGTTATGAAGGGGAACATGATCAGATGAGCCGTGACTCTGGTAGCATCCTTAAGGATCCTTTCAGCGCATCAGGGACTTACGAAAAACAGCTGTCCGTTTGAGACGAATGGTTGAGCAGAATGGGACTCTGCCCCCACTCCCCATTCGCCTTTGGGAGAAAGTTGGGTCCTGATTCCAGTCAATTCAGACTCAGACTCTAGCGCAGGGGTTGCATGTTTTTGTCAGGTGCAATATTGTTGGCCAGAAAGGGGGCACTTCTACTATTCTGCACGAGTCCACATGGAGCTGGGTGAAAGATGGCATGCCTAACTGTCATGCCTTTTCCCTGCCGGGTGCAACAGGCTCCATTCATTCTGATTTCAGAGAACCCCCGAGGTTGGGCACGGGTGTTGACTCCCCGTTGAGCGGGTTTGGAAGAAAACGAGCTCCCAGCTTGATTTCGCACCAGACAAGCATGAATAGCATCCTAGACCTATTAGGGCATATTTTTCGTTGCTCGGCCGGGGAACGCTGCGATTTCTGGACTCGCCCTGGCACAAGTTCGCCGTGCGCGCAGGAATACTTACCTTACCTTCCTGCTCATGTTTAGCAGCGCTATGGCCATTTGGGCGAAGCCGGCATGATTCTTCACATGTGTATTTGTATAGGTCCAGGTAGGTGGTTCTAGTAACCAGTACCTGGTTTAATTGATAGTTGTATTATTGCAAAGCCTATACTATATAAACCTTTATAGCCATGTTCGTGGCACCAACAGTCAGTTTGGGGACTGCTCATTTGTGATATATCAGGCCATCAGGCATGCAGAAACTGTGCAGTGAGGATCTTGAAGTTGCTTTAGGCACTTTGGCTATCAATTGACATCGCAGTTGTAAGACTGACGAGATCATCCCGAATTCAGTTGTTGGTCTCGCTTTTGCCTGACGTCATGATCCCTCTGCTTTTCTGGCTGGGTTTGGCACGTAGGTCTTGGAGATGTGGCTTCGGCCCATTGTCGGCATAGCCAAGAGGGTTGCCCCGACACTCAACACAATGACCAAACCACAAGGGCTGACAAAGAAGGCGGGTTGCTGCTTGGTTGGATCTGTTTCCACATTTTGGCGTGAGTTGTTGTTTTGTTTCTCACTACACAGCAAAAACAAATCATCGTTTTGTAACTTGGCAGAGGGGGAATGAGGAGCGCAGAGGGCACCCCCGAGGCAAGTAGTCATGGACGAAATCTAGGGCCGATGGGCTGAAGTGGCAAAGTTTGTGGCAGTCTCTTAGTTGGACATACTGTGGATGGACAAATTCCGGTCGCACCAGTTTGAAACCATGCTTGAAACCACTGTTTGTTCGTTGGGTTTCTGAACCGTGGTGCTTTGGATGGATTTCGCAACCACCCACTTTAACTTGTGTAAAAGCCAAACAATTGCGGGGCGATCCCGTGTCTAATGGCATGGGAGACATTAACTGTTTGGGTGATTTTTGTTGGGTTTTTTGAATTGAACTCACCAAAAAAACAAAAACTTTTTGCAGAGGGGTCAACAGCCACCACGCTAAGACAAGCCCATTCACCATGTTCTTTGCTTGCTTTACTTGCCGTCAACACCAACTATTTGGTGAAACACCTTTCCAAAGGAAACAAGCAGAGGGCATTCTTCCAAAAATAATACGGAGACCTAGTCTGGATAGCTTGATTCCCCGCTCTCCACGTCCAGGGAGTCCATTCCGATTTTTTTGGCTGTTTGGGCATGTCTGATTAGATTAGTCCCTTCACTCGGCCGTTACCTTTTGACTTTGGACTTTGAACGTGAGGGTTTTAGGACACATCCCACTAGTTTATAAAGGATCAGTGAACTGGCTGTGGTCCCTTTCAAGTTACCAAAAGCTTGTTTACTTTGGGAGCCAAAGGCAACCAACCAGTTCGGGAATTTTCATTTCCTACCCATAAAGCACTCATTTTTATTTTATTTTTTAAGCTTTCTCGTACCACGGTTTCATTCACTCCATGAGATTCCAACCCTTTCTTGAGCGGTTCCGTCGGGTCCCGTCACCCGACAGGTTGCGCATCTGAAGGCCGCCAAGCGGGAAGACTGAGGTGCGGCTCTGAGGCTCGGCTTCGACCATAGGCTTTGGAATTTCTCGGGCAAGGGCCGGTGATTGGTCCACTGGTTTTTGGATGAAAGGATGGATGGGTCGTGTTCTCTTGAGTTGGTAACTACCATTTTGATTGGTTTAAGAGGGAAATCTAAAGGATTACCTGTATGTTTTGTTTTTTTTTGGGGGGGGAGTCCCCTAAAGAAGAAACATCCCTGTCATTTTGGCTGGTTTTGAAAGGAATCTTTTCGACTGGATGTGACTTTTTCTCAGGCGACACCCGAAAGGGAAAGAGCAATCACACACCCTATGGAGAGGTGCGATTTCTGAATCTCCGCCGAGAGAGTTTCATTGCCCCTGAGACAAGCGTAGATGAAGTTGCGAACCCTCCCCCCCCTTGAACTTTCAGTTGATTAAGAATATGTTGTATGTTCATCGTTCGTTTTCTGGAGAATCTATCCCGACCGGACATGTTTTTATCCAGGGGACTAAAGCAAGTAGAGGTGAAGGAATCGCTCTTCCTTTTGAGACCTCCAGAGGGGCTCCTATTTGAGGTTTCCCTCTTAAATAGACTACCAACAACAAGGGCCGCCCTTGTTCCCTTGAAAATCCACTGGATGTGTTTGGAAACGTTCTCTGTCTCCGGGAGGAGAAGGAGGAGTTGAAGTCATTATTTTGAAGCAAGGGATCCTTTTTTCACGTAACCGCGACAACTGGAATCTTCTTCTTGTAGGTTTTTACTTAACATCAACTGCTTGACCATTTCGAACTCACCGCCCGGTAGCTTTCACAAAATTTAGGGAAGCCCCGGTTTCTGACTTTGATATTTCCTTAGAAACAGTCAACGTGGGCCTAGCTTTGGCTCCCATGCCAACTGGAGGGCTCTGCGGGGCTTGTTTCGCCGCGGCCAGGCGTCGTGCGTGCAGGCCGCGCTTCGCCGCGCATCGCCGCGCAAGTCGCGGCCGAGCGCCGCGCGGTTGCGCAGGCGCCGGACTGATACTCCGCTCTTTCTTGGCATGCGCTTTGTGTTTGACCGTGGATTCCAAAATGGCTGGTGTCCTTTGATTTGGTTGGACCGGTCCTTTCGACCTGCGGACCCGTTTCTTGAAGATTGAAAACAACAGGGTGTGATCGCGAACCAAAGGGCGATGTTGTTAGAACCCATTTAATAAGTCGTAGGGTGCATTTATTGGGGTCTCCGATATGTTGATCAAATATGAGACAGAGGCTGATTTTCTTTTTGTCCACCCTGCGGTTGAAAGATCACCGGACCCTTCTTGATCTACCACAGAAGCCTTTTTTGGGGAAAGGAACCGGTTTCTTGCGTTTTGTGGGGGAGCCTTGCTTTGAGAGAGAGGAAAGGTGCTTCGGGGACTGGACATCTTTGTTTTTTTGGGGGGGTCAGGTTGTCTCCCCACTGCATGGCGGATCTGTCGGCTGAATGCGTCAAAGCGGGTTCCGGAATGGGGGCCCCTGTTAGACTCAACAGTCTGTTGGAGTTGAGTGGTCTTCTACCTGCTTGTGAGGGATTCATGTTTCAACTTCAACAATACTTGGTGTTAAAGACTCGGTAGTTTTTCTCATTCCCCAAGAAGAAAGTCCGGCACCCAAAAGGGAAGTCAGGGCATGGGCCATGGGCACCGGTACCTTGCTGTTTTGGCGCCTCCCCGGATTTAGGACCCAGACCGCGCATTCCTCGGCTAAGAATGCAGGCACAACTGGGGTCTCAAGATGTAGGGTAAATCTGGTTTCTTTGCGGTTTTCTTGGGTGGCTCAGATTGGTTGTCACCCATTTCTGGAGTAGGACACCTACAGCTACAAAAAACAGTTATTGATTTGCCCCTCTTCAATCATCACCTTGTGGCCACTTTTAGATGAATGGTGTAATGCCTTTTAGGCTTTCGGACGCCAACTGACAGGCGCCGGCGAGTGGATTCGCTGCGTCAGCTGAGGGTCTCCTGGCCCGGTGCAGCTAGCGGATGGCTCCACCCGACTTGCCTCAGCAGAGGGTTGTACCAGTGACCACGCTAAACAGACCCCGCGAGGAGCATTGAAGTTTGAAGGTATCATATATATATATGTTATATCATACATAATTGCATCCGTTGTCTTTATGTGTAGTCTATTTCTACATACAGACTGGTTAATCTTTAGTCAGCTTGTTTTGAACTTGGCTAGCGAACCCCCGAAGCACTGCGATGTGCCTAAATCGTACATGTAAGGAGGCCTTGCTTCCAGCTTGCCTTGTGCTTTGCCAGGTTTCTCACCAAACAGGGCCACTCCCAAAAAGGGTCCCTTTGTTTCTTACGGTCGCTGGGCAACTAGAAGTGGCAAACGGACTTTGCCGAGCGCATGAATTTGGGCTTCAAGGATTGTTGCCGCTCCTCTAGAAATCAGAAGGGACGTTTGGGCCTACCCCCCCAGAAAGGTTGTGGAACCTCTTTTAAGAACTCCTTCTAAGAAGGTTCTGTCTAAGAGCATTCATTATTTCTTGGAGGGCGGGGGGCCTTTGGTTTACTCCTAATTGCACCCGGGTGGACATGTTGGTTTTCAAACCAACGTCCAGTTGGACGTTCCAGCGAGAGAGTCGATAAGTAGATCGCTGCCACTCTGAACAGAGGCAGCACAAGAAAAGGTGCGAAGGGGCGAGTGAACGCGGTGTGCGGGTGTGTGAATTGATTTGGCAATCAGTTTTCGTAAAGGGCTACCTCAAAATTGGTTGGTTGACATGAATTCTCACTGAATTCTGATGTCCAGCAACGGGCCCCCACTCAAATTTTATGCCCATTGGGGTCAAGGCAGGGGCGCTTTTTATCTCTTCACCCCGCAGGTTCGGTGTGCCTGCACCTTCACATGCCAAGAGTGCAAGGAGGAATGCAGACCTGAGGCCACACCTCGAGTTTTGCGGGGAGACTGGGGGGGGGGCCTTTGGCTGGGGTCATTATTTTGACGGTTTCTGGGGGTGATAAAGTCAGTAAATGGGGTTGTTTCCCTTTAACCCACCACTTCGGGGGTGACTTTGATCTGGTAAAATAATGAGGCCAGTTTGGTCGGCCAGCGCTTCCTTTGGTCACCATGGCTTGGTGGTTCCAAGCCATCCCGTCCAGTTGCGGTTCTGAGATCTTTGTAGTTGGTTGAGTGGTAGTGTGGAAACTTAGGCCGCAAGTTTTCGACTAGGAAATCTGAAAACGGACTCTCCGCCCGGAGAGGCCACCGAAGGGGAGGCAGCAATCCACAGGGGAATCGGACGCTATGTGTAAACAGCCCTCGGTCAACACTTCCTGATTTGGGGGTGTATGCTTTTGGAGTCGGTACCCTCTGTTACTGTGGCAGAGGGAAGCCAACAGGAAACCCACCATTTTGGGGGTCCGCCAATGGACGGCACCCATTTGTCTTTGGTTCGTCTGGGGTTTGGCAACACTCATTTTTTCATGTCATCTTGGGGAGACTTGAGTTTTGTTTGACCGTATGGTAGACCATCACGTCCTTTGTACAAATGGTGGTTCTCCTTTTGCCAAGGGTTTTTCCCATTACACCCTGGAACTATGCACTCTGGGGAATCACCCTATTCTAGCCCATGCCCATGTATGTTGGTTTATTTAGCAAGACTTTGAGTAATTTGTCTAGGGTGTACTCCCAGGTTGTGTTAGGAAAATCCTTGAGACTTTGGTGTTCCTGTAAATCTACAAACAAGGGGGACCCTCCAAGAAAGAGCCCCCCACTCATCTACCCTTGATCCACGGAGTTAACGAGTTGTGTAGCATCCCCCCATCCATCGGCTTGAACGGAGTGCTGTACAGAAAGCATCCGACTTCATCATCCATGATCTCCCTAGTTCTTTACCAATTCTCTCCTGTCGTTGTGCATTATGCTGTTGTTTCTCTCTTTTTTTTGCAACTCGTATGACTTGTTGGTTTGAAAGTACCTCACAACTCCATTTTAAGTAATTAGCCCCTGCTTCGACATTGAACGTGGTGGGTATTCAAGATTACTTTTGATCTTGGTTTCCCTCCCGTTTTTTTTCACATCCTCGAAAAAGGTGGCGCTGACCTCTCTTGTTTCAAGGGAACGAAAAGGACGCCCATCCATGTGCAGGGGTCTCCCATGTTGAGACACACCCAACTGCACACAGCGCTGCTTTCAATAAAGCAACCCCAAAAAGGGCACCCCTAAAAGATCATGTGGCTGTGGCTCAAAAAAGTGGTACCAAAATGGCACCTTGGTAAATGGAACCAAAGACTAACTCTTGAGTAACCCCAGCTGGTTAAATTTTGAGCCATACCGATATGAGTGTCATTTTTTAGAACCCTCCCGCCCCCCCCCCCCCCCAAACAACATTAAAATGGTGGTTTTCCTTTTGAGCCATCATGTTCTTGTTGGAAAGCCGTGGATCGCTTCCCCGGAGCTCCCGAACCAATCGATCCCTTCCCCGGGTGTGCCAGGCGAACTTAAACCGCCCCGTGGGCGGCTTTCGAGCCGAGGAGCCTTCGAAAACGGGGGAAAAAACCCCAGAGTTGCCCGCATGAAGGAACATACCGTTCTGCAGATGAACATGGAACCCCGCAAAGAGACGCTCATTTTGGAGGAATCTCCTGAGGAACTCTTTTTGGGGTTCCACTTTGATGTGCAGGGGACGACTCAATTCGAGGTCCTTGGGGTCATGTCCATCTCCAGGAGACAGACACTGTTGGAGAGCTGGGAGCCAGATAGACCATGTTTGGGAATTTCCCCAAATGAATCTAAAAGGGGATGTGTACCACTTTTTCGAGACCTGTTCAGATCTCAGAGGGTAAGGTGAGTGGTGAGATGTCGAGGCGATACGTTGATAGGTCGGCTCAACTGTTTTTGTGCTGCTCCTCAATTGCCCGAACCGGGATTTTGACCTTGCTGGGTGCCAAACTTAGCTCACCGTTTTGCTTGTTGCCTTTTTGGTTTTCCATCGTGTTCCCGCTCAGACAGCAATGTCAACTTTCCGTGGGTCTAGGCAAAGGTGCTACACAAAACAGCGAAGTCATTTGAACCACTTGATGGCGATGGTGGCGGTTCGGAGGTGTCAGGTTGAGGCACTACCTCCAGATTTGTTCAACTTGAGGTCAACAGTTGTTCAAAGTCGAGCAGCTCCATATTTGTTCAACTTTAGGCCAATGTTAGGTCAAAGCCAACCAGAAAGCCAACAGAACCCTGGCAGGTTTGGGGCGCCTGCCAAAGTTTATGGGTTGGCACAGCACCGGGGCCCAAATCATCGGCAAGGCTGGTGTCCAATGCTCATTCCTAAACCGCAATGGCAAAAAGCGCTCCGCTCCAAAAAGGCAAAGGAGCTGACTTTGGTTCCCAGATGATTTTATTCACGATCCTTAATCTTACCACCCTAGGGTCTCCTTTCTGCTTCGTAGGGATGGCGAGTCGGTTCCGGGCCGCTCTTCAGCCCAGGCTTGGTCTTGGTGGTGTTGGTTTTCGGAGCTAAGAGTTCGAGGACATTTTTGCAGGTAAAAAAACATCAGCTTCCTGGAGATGTGACGTTTCTATTGGGGAAATCTGAGGAACTAAAGTGAAAGTAGGGATATATATATATATATATGTTCAAAGGTGACAAACATAGGCAACCATGAAAAAAACAACCTGGGAAAATCAGTATGTCCAAAGGGCATGTAGGCAGTTCGGTGGAGGTTTGGTCCAGAGTTCACCGGTCACCGACTGATCGTAGGATCTGGTGGCCCACGACGAGAGCCGCTGGGTGGGCAGGGTGATGGAGGCCTTTTATCGCGTGGAGGCGGGGAAGGCGTCGCGGCGATCTTTTTTGTCCAGGTCAGCTGGCGGGAGAGCTGTGGCCGTTTTTCTCAAAAGAAAAAAAGCAAAAACGGGAATTCCAAAATGGAGTCTTCTTTTCCCGTAACAACTGCAGTCTTCTTTTTGGAGGGTTTTCTTTTGTATCAGCTGAGCCACGTGCTCAAAACCGTTTCGGGTAGATGAAGGTTAAGGGACGATCCCCTTGCCATAAATAGCTGCGGAGATCCGCCTTCTTAATCCTGTGCTGGCGTGTTAGGTGGGTGTGGCTCCAAAAAAGGGAATTCCAAAACGGGTTTCCCTGGTAAGTGGAAGCATGGACCAAAACCTGCGTAACTCCTCCGGTTTAATTAGAGCCACACCCAGAGGTGGTTGTCTTGAAGAGCTAGGGTTGCGCATGTGTTTGTGTGGTTCCATTTGCCAAGCTGCCATTTTCGTACATGAGTTTGAGCCACAGCCAGGTGGTGATGGGTTAACGTTTGGCACCATCTGACATGTTTTGCCCTTGATCAGCCAAGCCAAGTAGCGACTTAAGTCCTAGGTTGAGGGTTGCCCAATGTCAAGGATACCCCGTTGGCTTTATTCTGCATTGGAGGTTCGAATGCTTGGCTTTGTCAGGGTTAGAACTAGGACAATACAGAACATGATGCTCAAGCGTCCTAGAAACAAGTGTCAGTAGTGTCCTGAATGGAAGGACACAAACCTCTTTCCAAAGACGATGTTCCTCTGAGACGCACGCAGCCTTGCTGGTGCTTGGATTGTCAGTTGTTGGTACTCTAGATAAGTTATAACCCACTTATAAGTCCCCGTTCAGTTTTTAGGAGATTATACCCCAAGTGGCTCACCACTACTTGGATGTACGGCAAAGTTAGCAAGTGGTTGGCCACTTGGGGTATAACCCCCTGATAGCAAGGGTAAACTCACTGAACGGGGGACTTCTGGAGAACCGCTTGCTGCTCTTGTGTTTCTAATCTCCCTGCGTCCTCTTGTCAGGTATGCGGTTTGGGCGATTTGAAGCCCTGGGCTTTGTAAACAGTAAAATGGAACCCAAGAACACCGCCAAACCGCCAATTAGAGGCAAGTTGATATTCAATACGCAACAACTTCTCCATATGTGTTGGGTCTCAAAATTGAGTGGTTTCCCACGTCCTGGAGAAGCCTTGGACATTCCTCCGCCTCGGTCGCACCCGTTAGGTGGAGATCTGCAAGCGCTGCGAACACTGCCGCATTTCCCGCCCGAAGCTCAAGCGCAAGCCTGGATTCGGCGCATTTTCTCACGTCAGAGCTGTTTGGGAACGGATCTTTGGAGTTTAATGTAAGAATCGCCGATTTGTGGGTAAGACATGGTAAGACTCAACCACACACGGGATTGAACACCAACAACTCCTAAGGGGCCCCTTCGATGAGGCTGGGTTTGTCTCCTGCGAAGCACATGTGATGTAGTTTCCCTTTGCCTTTGACTAGGCAAATGCTAGTTGATTGCTTCCAGGCTTGGGGTGACTTTGGTAAATAATGGGGCCACTAAGATATTGGCACTGGGCAGTCTACTGGTTGTTTGGGGAGGCAGGGGAGGGCGTTGGGCTCCAAAGACGCACCACTACAGGACAAGAAGGCATGTCCTATTGGTTCGTCCGTTGCTTCCAAGCAGTTTGACCCTTGATGTGGGCCCTGGTGATTGAGAACCCCCCTGGTTGATGGGTGTCGAAATCCGACGCATTTTCCCTGTTTTGGGGTGCACAGACACCGCCACGTTGAATACTCCGAGGTCAAGATTCGCTTGGGCTCCAATGAGCTCACCAATGCTTCATGCACATGTGCCGTTAATTCTTCGTCGCCAAACTCGGCCTCACATCGCACATGTTTTTTGCTGGCCCTTGATGTCCGCATCCTGCTTTCTTTTTTTTTGTTTTTTCTGGGGGGGGGACTTTTTGGGTTCTGACCATTTTGGTGGCAACCTGCGGGGCTTTGAGCGCATTTCAATCTATCCCGAGCAGGCCGGCACAGCTCCGCGATGCGGCGGGACTTCTGCGGGAAATGCCTGGGACCCGAACCCAAAAGGACGCAGCTCATGGCATGGCGGTCTCGATCGGAGCGCCTTTGGCTCACTGCCCCCGAGTCCCTGGACTTTAAACACTTTTTGGGTTTGAACAACGTTAGTGCCCAGATGCTCCCGATTGATTTAGGGCCCTCAAGCAACCAGGTTTTGAGCCCCCAAACACCTGCGGTGTGTCTAGCGGAGAAGTCTGGGTCTTCCAGTGAAAGGTCCAGGTGCCTCTGGGAGGTAAATACAAAGTTTGGTCTTTGTCTGGCCCATCCAGTCCGGAAGCGAGTTGGATTCCAAAGATCGGCTTTTGACTACCACATTCAAGGGAGTTTTCTTCGGGCTGATGTTCAAGGGGGGAGGAAAGAAAAGGGAAGCCTGCTCAATGACCGTGTGGACAGTTGGGACGTGAGCATGTCGTTGGGGTGCCGGATTTGAGCACAGCTTAGCATGCAAACACAAGGTTGCTCTGTGGTGTACCGGACTGACCATGAGTCAGTGAGTGCGCCAAGCACTTGTTTCTTCCTAAGCAAACAACGGTAACTGTGGCAGGGCTATAACACCAACAATGGAGTTGAGGAGGCCTTGATGGATTTGCCACCGCGCTCGCTCACCCCCAGTTTACTGCCACCATCCATTGAGTTGAAGACCGGCTTAGAGGAACACGCTGGTCTCCGATCTCCGCAGGATCTTAGATTTGAGGCGCGATTGTGGATCCGCTTTGGCCAAGGTAACATGAGCAAGTGTTGCGGGGAGTGCGCATTCGCTTACTTCCCCGGATAGACTTGTTTTACTTTGCGCATTCGATGAACTGGAGCCAGATGTTTTATCGGAGGGCATGGGCAGCAGGTCGGTGTCTGTTCGTTCATGTGGAGCCCTTCAGTCTGAAACTACCCTTCAACATTGATGGCCAATGGTACCATTTTGGGATAGGTGCACCATCCTTTTTAGTCTATTTTAGTTGGGATTGGGATGTTCACTGGAAATATGGGATTTTCACATAAAGGCAAGCCGCCGGGTCCCAAATCTGAGTTTGAGAGCCCCTCAAAATGCTCACTTGAAGGGGCCCATGAATGCGCATCGCGAACCCAGGATTCATCGACAAGCTTGAATAATTTCTACATCTGTCAGATGTTGAAGGGATCCCTTCACTTTTTTTTGCTTTTTGTGGGGGGGGGGGGAGAGGGGGCAACGCACAACACACCATGACTGCGACAGGTTCTACTTGACTCTGTGGATATGAGCTGGACGCAGCCGGCTCAAGCTTGCCTCTGCGTACCCGTTCCCAATGCGGAAGCTTCCGGTTTGGCTTTTCGCCCTGGCGGTATGTCGGGCGACGGTGCTGCAGGAGTGTGAAGGGCTCACGTGCGGCGATGAGGTTCCTTGGCCGAGTCTGGACCGGCTGGAAGGGAGCCATTACGGTGTCTAAAGATGGGCTAAGGAGCTTCCAGGGGTGTGAGGACATGGTCGGTTGGCACAAGTTTATGGAAGCCCCCAATGTTTTGAAGCGAATTGCGGGTCGCAGGAAGCCGCCATGGCGTTTTTCTGTGAAGATATTTGAGCGTCCGTTCTCTTCTCTAAATTGGCGACAAATCAACAAAATAATGTTGCGAGAGAATAATAAAAGAGGAATTCAGACACAGCACACATTCCAAAACATATTCCCTCGCCTGAAAGGCAAAACGGGTAGGAAATCCGCAACACAACAATGAGGCTCAAAATACCGGAAATGTTTTCCAGGTGGACAAGAAGCGGATTTTGGGGCTGAGACTGTCTGAGCTGCATCCAAGCTGCTCCATACCCCAGTCCCAGCAGCTCTCCAAGATATTCAACAGCCACCAAGATGATTTGAGCTGACTGAGGTCCCAAGCAGCCAAATGATTTGTGACATTTTATGACACTGTTTACTACAACTGCCCAGCCAAATGTTCAAGGGGGTGCAGGGAATGCAGGAACACCCAGGAAGAATATGGGTTGTTGGAAGGGAGGGAATATTGCAAACGTTTTGCACCCAGGGCCGCCGCTTAGGAATACTCAACCAAGAATACGTAAACCAATTCGAAACAGTACGGCTAGCTTAATACTCCAATACTAAACCAATTTTACAGGCGACTGAGCCAGTACACAAGAAGGCTAAACCCATACCAAAGCAGTACTTAGCTTGACTGCTATTGGGTTGGATCTTTAGACTTTAACTTTTTGAGAAGAAAAGGTGCTTTCTACTAAACCCCCAAAAAGTTAAGTTTTTTGCAGGGGGGTCACCAGCAAGCAAGTTAGCCAGTACAAAACAGTTGCTAGAGGACTACTTCGGAAGTCGACTGCTTGACCCCCATTGTGTTTTTAGATGTTTTGTTTCTGTTGACCCCGCTCCAATCAAAAGTCGTTGGGAGGGGGGCCATTTACTACTGCCCCACATGAAAAGTATGAGTTAAATGGGAAGCCCTTTGCAAAGGAGCTTCATGAAGATTGATTAGGACCTAGTTGTTGTTTCTTCTATTCAGCCTTCCCTTTCAACCAAATAAGCACCAATAGAAACTCTACGGGGAATACCATTTCAGATATTATTTTGAGGTCAACAACTGCCAATTGATTTAGGTTCTTATTGACGCACATGAACAGCCGTTGCGTTCTTCTGCTGTCGTTTTATTTGGTTCAGAACATCAACGATGGAAATTGCGACGTGCACAAAATCCACTTGATCGCGCTGAGGACCTGGAGAGGAATCCATGGGTGTTAGCATGCGTTTCTGTTTTCTTTGCGGGGAATCCGGTTTATTTTTCCCTGTTGGTGTTAAAGGAAATCGATGTCACTACTGGAAGTAGGTGTTTTTTTGTTTGTTTTTTTCCTGGGGACTTGAGCAAATGGAGGGACACCTACTTTTTGCTATTGTTTGAACACTTTGCAGACGCATCTCGAGCTTTCCAAAGCAAACATACAACACACCTGGAACCTCCATCATAGCATAAATTTCTGCCTCCCCCCTTGTTCGATACCAAAATTGACTCGACGTAGCACTTTTTGCCTCCCATTTGATTCCGAGAGCTTTTTGACGATTCGGGCAGACATCCCATTCGGCCGTGTTTTCTTCTTCCCCATGGTCAAGTTGCCGCCAAAACGCGCAAATCGGCGCAAAAAAGTGCAGCTGCGAATCGCAGGTGGCAAATTGCATTTGCGCGGATGTCTCGAGCACTTTCTGTTAAAACGAGCGTTTTTTGAGAAGAACGTGTCACGAGCAAAAAAAATGTTGCAAAAATTAAGGTAGCAATGGAGGCTCCAGGCAAATACAGCATCCATACGGGCAAAGCGTAGGATCAATAGGATCAGCCATGCGGCTCTGGCTTTTTTCTGGACAACTCGAGCTTTATGTTTGCATATGTTCAGTCTGCCTTGTGTCTTTTTCCGTGAACAACGCGAGATGTTCTTTCAAGGCTGGTTTCAATAACGCATGCCTCACTCCCTGAGTCCCTGGACTGCAAACTTTTTGGGCTGGAGTCGCATGGTTGATTTCATGCCAGGGTCGTCCAAGAAAAGGGCGTCTTTTGGCAAGGGTCCCGAACTCAATCCCTCAATTCGTGGACTTTAAACTTGTTTGGGAACACAATTTTGGTGGCAAACGAAATTTCTTGACTATTCTAGCCAACCCGCGGGAATCGAGCAAACCGTGAGACTACTACTCCTGTCCCCCTTTTTTGGACCGAGAAACAACACAGGGTCCGCTGCCCTGTTGCGGATGAGCATCCGAATGAAAGGCAAGCCGTGGTTTTTTGTTGGCCTGGTATGGAGCCGAGCCAAGGAGCCGGGATCTGCTAAGGGAGCGGAGCGGTGAAGTTCTGTTCGACATGGCAGTCTGTTCTTTGTTAAGGATTCTTTACAGAATGGTCGCTGATTTTCCATTGCCGAAAGATTGCAATCGGAGGTCTCACTTCCCGAGTTGGACTTGAGACTTGGGAAGACCATGTTAGCGACAAGTTCGGTCTTTGGCCAATCCACTTGATCGGAAGTGAGGTGATTCGACTTTAGCTTTGCATTTTGCCAAGGGATGTTAGGACTGGACTTTAACTTTCTGCCAATGGGTTTTCCGTATTAAACCACCAAAATTTAAACTGCTAGGCGAGCAGATTTCGCAACCGAGGTTAGGGAGCCCAGTTTTCTTTAGGTGCAGCTCCTGCAAGCCGAGAAGGTGAAGCGAGGCGAATCCATCGCGGACTTTTGGAAGGAAGTGGCGGAGCTGATCTGGAAGAAGGGGCTTCTCAGCCGGGGGAGACATGAACCTTGTTTGCGTGAAGGAAGCCAGAGACAAGCCACATTTTGTTGTTGGTTCTTTAGGGTTGGAACTTTCTTTCAAAGGGTCCAATGAGAGTTCCTTCTCTCAGGCTTCTGTGACAGTGCGCTGTAAAAGGTTTCAACCTTGTGTTCTGGACACATTTGGTAGAACTAGCTCTTTTTGGAATTGGTTTGAGGCGAAATCAAAGGGCGCAACACATATTTTGAGGCTTATCCTTGTCATGAAGCAACGCACAAAACGGAGAGTTCCCCTTGAAAGACAAACCGTTTTTTGGTCGACCCTTTGCAGACCTTGTAATTATGGATTAGGATGAAGGATTCTATTTCTCGCTTTGAGCAACCCGGACAAGGTAGCCCCCATCTTGAGACTTTTTCGAGTTCACGGGGGGTCCATGAACTATCCGACGAAGAAAATGGTAGGGCACCCGTAGGTTACAGGGAACCAATAGGAAACGACACACTGATTGATTAACATGTGTGGGGTTGCGCTTAGGCGCTGTCGGGTGCGCTTAGGTTGGATGCGGCGTCCAAGGTCTTGCAGGCGTGATGCAATGACGAAAACCTTCCCCAGATGTCCAGTTTCTTAGGGGAATTCAAGAAGTTGAAGCCGTAGGTGTCTTTTTTGGTTGTTGGGTTGAACATAGATACAAGTTGAGAATAGATGGCCCTGGTTCAGGTGGTTGTTTCATAATCTACCAGGCAAATCCATCTATTGGCAAGGACACCTATGGTTGAAACATTCGCGGTTTCGGCCATGGATTGAACAACGTTTTCCTTCCAAACCTTGGGCAAACACGTCCAGGATCAACATCCCCCCCGCACCAGATACCCACGATTTTTTGGGTACTCACGTGAAACGCTGACTCGACAAAGAGGTATTTATCGCGGAACACCTGGTTTTGGAGACCTTTGTGGAGGGCACTCATTTGTTGGAATGGTCTAAAGGGAAATCGAAGGGCTTTTACCCATATGTTGCGACACGGCCATTTTGTGCGGTTCCATGTTTGGTGGTTTGAAGCAAAGGGTTGCCACTGGAGGGAATGGATCTGGGTGCCCGTGTGGATCTACGGCCAACGCAGCGGATGTCTGCCTCCTATGACGCGGACGCGGCCAAAGAGTTGTGGCTCTATGCTACCGCCACGACCTGCTCCCTGGAGGACATCCGCTCAGTGAAATCGATCTCTGGGGCGTTTCCTCGGTCCATTTTCCATTTTCACCCAGTTGATTGCGAGTTTGGATCCGTTGTTGGATCTTCAAGTGGCAGTTTCAATGAGACACCACCAGTCAATTGCACGGCGATTTGGGCGGTTTGGGTTGTTGGTTTGGGTTGTTGGGTGCTAAAGCATTGAGGGATCTTCTTTATTACAGTTCCCATTGTTTACCCTGAATAGATTGAACACATGCAACTTCAGGTTCGTTGTTTGGGTTGGCGAGCTTGGGTTGGGTTTGGTTCGAGTAATTTGTTGGAGACTTGGTTTTGTATATTGGTTGCTTGAGCCTTGCCTGCAAAATGCCGAGTGCTAAGTAGCCATGTTTCATGTCCCAGAAGGAAGCCAGGAGGGTTCTCTGGGATTGTTCTTTTCCAAAAGGAGTTATCAATCAATCAAAGGCAGGGCAAAATTGGTGCCCCATCCCAAGACCCTATTTAAGCTCACCGGTCAAAGGCCGCAGCTCTGTTTTTTGTTGGAGCTTTAAGGAGAATAAGGCTCTTGGTGAGCCACTCACCAAACAAGAAGAGGATTCGGAGGATAGAATTGAGCAGACCGCCAGCAAAGCGCATTGTCAGATAGCTGGAGTCAAATGATGGTCGTGGCCCTGTTGGAGGATTTGCACAAGTGGCCCAACGGCTTCGACAACCCCACCTGCAAGACCTTTGCTGCGGGAGCGGGGAAGGTCAGCGTCTTTGTGGACAACACCAGGCGGAAGGAGACAAATAATCCCGATCGATGCTTGCCGAAGTTGCAAAAATGCAAGAAACTGTTACATTTGCAGCACGCTTCTTGCTCCCTCCTCCTCCTCCTACTCTTGCTCCTCCTCCTCCTCTTTCGCTTTGCCAGATGGTGCAAGTACCTTCTAAAGACCAGTTTCAGGCGTCCGTCCGAACGGGGTCAATGAACAACCCTCACACCCGTCCAGGCCATCCATTCAGGCTCTGAAGTGGATCGGCCTGGTGCTGCGCATTTCGGACGCCGCGTGGTTTCAGAGTGTCATCGCAGGCGCTCGGAAGTGTTCTTCCGATGTGATATACGTACCCACCAAGGCAGACCACGGGATAAAGACAAAACATGACCCTCGGGAAAAGACAGCTGGATCAGACGTTTGCGTGTGTGTGTGTGTGGGGAGTAATTGCGCAAGTCCTCAGTTTGCTTTTTGCCGAGCATACCTGAGCCATCACACCCCATAATTGACGATGCGTGACAACCCCAACCAAAATTGGTGTTATGCAAGTATTTGCATGCATGTGTGGAGTATCAATATCAGAGCCATGTTCACTCAACAAGATCATGATGGTTCTGTGCTTGTGGTTCCATTTCTTACTCCAGATTTGCGGTCTTTTCAATGCACCAATCAGTTGGGCCGTTTTCAGCGGGATCCTTCAGTACTGGGACCCGAACCTTCCATGTGCAGGACTGGAGCGGTGGACTGTTGGCAACCATAAAGGGCCGCTTGGCATGTCGGCCTTTTGGCCCCAGGTAATGGGCTTGAGACCTTTCGGGAAGACTTCCTATCCTCCAAAGCTACTGTGCGTGAATGAAATCTTGCATTTTCGCACCACTTGGAAACCATGAGAAACCACTGTTTGTTGGTATTTACCAGGGAATCATCAAGGGGTTCTTGGGTGGTGTAGCATTTCGTCCATCCGCAGTATGTGTCATATTAGAACAGCGACGGATCGTCTCACGTCTGGTGTTTTTTTCCCAGCGTACAATGCTCAGCACCCAATGACAGCTTCAAACCCCCATGTTCAATCATACCACTCCAAAGAAATTGCGAAACGTCCACAACTTTTTGAACATAGGGCCAGGACCCCCCTTATTTTCTGTCGTGATCCCCTTTTGTGACGGGCTATGACTCCAGATCGCAAAGCTATTGCTCCGTACTTAAGAAATCACGGCCGAGGTTCGTTGCGACGGACGACGCCACGAAGCGAATCATTGTCTCTGTCGCGGGCACCGGCTTGCCCACAGACGCCGGCTTCATTGCAGACGTCCTAGCGGACGTGAACGCGAACAACTTGTACGGCTTGGGATGCCCGGTGATCCAAGTGCAAAAGACAAAATTTGGGCTGCCCTACATTGTAAAGCTCCCTGGCTTGCACCACAGGCTGGGGTCCGAAAAAATCAACCCTTGGGAGATGGTCGTGGAATCCCTTGTGCTATCCCGTGTGGTGACCCAAGATCTCTGAACCGAATTTGGATCTGGATCCCCGTTTTTGAGCGAGAATGAGTCAACCCTCATACCTCCTTGAGAGGACAATCACAGGACCCCTTGAAACAAATCTTTTTTCGGAAGACTAGTCAGACTAGAAGCCAAGCTGGAGATGTGTTTGGGGGGATCACGCGTTTGTGTAGCAGTTGTGAACCACCTCACCACCACCCCACGCTAACTCCCTCCTCCCCCACCCCGCCTCTCTCCTCCCTCAATTTTGTCAGAAAACTTTGGAGGGGGTTCTGCTGGTTTTACAACATGATGGTGCTCTACACCAGCTACCAGGCGGACCTTGTGAAGGCCTTGAGCGCCAATCCCGACTACGATGTGGTCTTCACCGGCCACTCTCTGGGAGGCTTAGATCTCATCCTTCCCTGAACGAAGATCTGGGTGTGGTTCCAATTTGTTTTGAGGGTACCGGAACTACTCACTTTCCAAGAAGATCTGGGTGTGTGGTTCCATGTTTCGTTTTGAGGCGACCCTTATTTGAGTAAAGGGGAGCAAAAAGAGCGGGGTACAAAAATCGACATATATCTGGAGTTTGAGTGTTTCTGGGCCTTTAGGCGCTTTCCAGGACCAATTGGTCACAGCAGCAGTTTCCTGGAGAGCGAATGTATGTAAATCCAGATGCTCAAGACGTATTTTAACTTGTACTTTCAGACTTTCAGACGGAATTGGCTTGACGCGGCAGCTGAAACTTGGACATTTCAGCCGCTTAGGAAGAAGACAACCATGGTCATAAGTGCAGGGCTTGGCACATATATACATACCCGCAGTCATAGGCGATATTTCCCGGTTTCTGATGTGGACAAGTATGGCAAAGCGAGGATGATGAAATATGACTTTGGTGTGACTTTCTGTAGAAAGTTGGAGAATTTGCTCTGTGATAAGATCATGGCTGTGGATCTAACATGACATTGGGGGGCGACTTCCTGTACCAAGTTGGACAAATCACTTTTCATAGAGATCAGTTGCCCAAAGCCATCGACCAATTTTGCCCACCAGTCTTCCGTATTTTTAATGTTGGCCTTGTATTTCTGGGTCCAAACGGGGCAAGTGAGAAAGTCATACCCGTATACCAAAGTCTTAAGTCGTTTCGGGGGAAAACCGCAGGTGCCTCCATCACCTTGGCTGCCACAGACTATGTCTATCGCATCCGCCCGGCGCTGAAGAAAAGTCCCGACTCGGACTCCCAGTCAGACGCTTGGACTTGGACTTTGTTTTGTTTTTGTAGGCCGAGAGTTCTCTGTGTGTGTGTGCTAAGTGCGCTATGCGTTTTCGGTTTTGCCAAACGGGGGTCCGGGGTGCCGGAAAAGACAAAGACCGATCGCTGAGCCGGCCAACCTTGAGAGCTTGTTGACACAGGTCCGAAGCTCTGTTTTAACCCCAAGAGCCGATGCTTTTTCTTTTACAGCCATTTTGGGCATGTAAGCCGTTGCGCCCTGGGGTAGATTTATTTGAGCCCAGAGAAGGTTGCTTTGCTCACTTCCAAGACCTGAGGTGGAGCCTTGCTTGGCGTGTGACCTTCCAGAAGTGGATCCCCTGCCTGGGCTAGCTGTGACTGGACAGGCAATGCTTTACACCTACGGCTCGCCTCGGCCCACCTCCCCCGCCGGCGCGGACTATCTGCATGGCCCTGTGCCTGAAGAACCGGCCTTTGGGTCTGGAGAACTTTTCCGCAAAGGGGAGGGGTGTGTTTTCCCAGCAAAAGGGGAGAGGGGAGTTTGTTTACGGAGCCCCTGTTCCTTTTTATTCACGGCTGTAGACTCGTAGACCCTGTGGTCCATTTTCGCAAAAGGGTTAACCCCTGAGTTTAAGTTTTCCTGCAAGAACTGCAGTTGCCTAGTGGCCCTCTTCTTTCATTAGGAAGGGCTTTTGTCGCATGGAAATTCCATGGAAATCCACGCGTCTGACTTGTAGATCCCTGAGCCCAACAAGGGACCTGTGTTTTTTTCACCACAAATACACCAGCATAGACCCCAGATAGCACACCAGGCTACGAACCATGACGCTGCATCATAATGGTTCCCGCGGCATCATTATGATGTTGACAGCATCATGATGATGTTGACAGCATCATGCTGATACACCAGCCACAAACGATTCCGCACTACATATCTAGCAGAAAAAAAGCAGCGACGACGTCCTGATGAGTTCGACGGCATCATGATGATGCGGACAGCGTCAAGATGATGCGGACAGCATCACCATGATGCGGGCAGCATCATGGTGATGCGAACAGCATCATGGATCATGGCGATGGCAAACGCAGAATCATGATGATACCACAGCCACGAGTCATCTTGTGCCAACGTAATGAGTTTCAGCATCATCCTGACGTTGACAGCATCATGCCGCCGCGACACCAACGAACCATATCGCGGCACCGCAGTGACTCCAGCAGCATCGTGGCGTGGATTTGACAACATCGTGATGATCCAGCCACGAAAGTCCGAATCGGTTCAACAGCATCATGATGCTGCGGACAGCATCATGATGAATCCACAACCACGATACCCCACGCAGCACCCGCCCTAGCACCCTGCCATCCATATGCGCCCGTCACCAACACCTCAAAACAGCACACCGGACATGCGTCACGTACTGTCACCAGCACCTCAAACGACCAGCAGTACCCCAAAGTGCATAGCCCCTAGCTCCCAGCCGTGGATCTTGCAAAACAATTCCCCTTCTCTCTCCATTAGAAGTTAGAACTCCCATCGTCCTAGCTATCTGGGTCAGCAGCACCTCAAACAGCAACCCAGAATTGCGCCCACAACGTCACCAGCACCTCAAACAGCACCCCAGAGCAGCACCTGCACCAGCACCACAAACTGAATGCCCCCTAGCACCCGCCGTCCATCAGCGCCTTAAACAACACTTGCACCAAACAGCACCTCCACCAGCTCTACCAGCACCGCAAACTTCATGCCCCCTAGCGCCCGGCCGTCACCTCCACCAGCACCCAAAATTGCATGCCCCCTAGCGGCCGGCCGTCACTCTCGCAAAACAGCACCTCCACCAGCAACCCAAACTACATGCCCCCTAGCGCTCGGCCGTCAATCTCGCAAAGCGGCACCACCAGCACCCGAAACTGCGTGCCCCCCCAGCACCCGGCCGTCAAGCTTGCAAAACGGCACCTCCACCAGTGCCCCAAACTACATGTTTCCTAGCACTCGGCCGTGAAAGCGAACACCCCAAACTGCATGCCGCCTAGCACCCGGCCGTCAAGCTCGCAAAACAGCACCTCCGTCAGCTCGCATCCCCCAAGCACCCGGCCATCACTCTCGCAAAACAGCACCTCCACCAGCACCCCAAACTACATGCCCCCTAGCGCTCGGCCGTCACTCTCGCAAAGCGGAAGCTCCACCAGCACCCCAAACTGCGTGCCCCCTAGCACCCGGTCCCAAGCACTTTCCCTTCTTTATTGGAAGTTAGAACCCCTATAGCTTTCAGCTATCTGGGGAATGACCCCCACCCAGCCCCACCCCGCCCCGCCCCACCCCACTAGGTGCATTCCTGGAGTCCACTGCTGGCCTTTTACCGCTTTGCCCAGGCCAGCTGAACGCTTCCTATCGCGTCACCCGGAACGGGGACCCCGTGCCCTTGCTGATGATGTGTCAGCGCCAGGACTCGGGCGTCCAGGCCTGCAGGCCGACGGAAAGGAACGCCTACCACGTGGCGCAGGCCAGGAAATTTGGTTTGGTTGGTGTTCATTGTGTTGTGGTTTGGTTTCTTTGGCGACAGTTTGTTGTTTTGTTGTTTTTGCTTTTTGGTGTCATGTATAACTTTCAGCAGATCTGGGAACAGGCCAGGGAGTGTAATCAACCACCATGTGGATGGCTTTTCTCTTGCCCAATTCGACGACTTCAACAAGCAGAAAAGCCCTTTTCTTCCCGGCACGGATAGCGGGAAGTTTTGTCTGATGGCTGATCAGAACCCTTCTGGGAAGCCTGAAGAAGGACTTTTCAACTTTCTTGGTGGGTTCGACACGAAACATGGTTAACCCCAACACAGTTCCCTTACCACCAGGATCCTGAGTTTTAGCTTGGGTCTAATGCACTACGTGGACGTTGGTTCCAACGTACCCCGCAGCCCAACCTATTTTATGTTGGCCTTGTAGCAGACGTTGTGGCCACTTTCTGTGATACCAAGAGAACCCCTTTCCGATCCACTGGTGATAGGCTTATTTTTCCCTACCTTGGAATCAAAATGTGTTTTTCCCATGCGCAGGAGGTGTACTACCCCTTCGAGAATGGCACATACTTCATGTGCAATGGTTTAGGGGAAGACCCAGAGTGCCAAGACACCAGATCTGTGGAGAAGGACTATACTTTCGAGCAGTTCACCTACGGTTTCGGAAATATCCACACCGCCTACTTCGGCACCTCGTTTGACAACTTGTCCGGAGTGGGTGCCACCTGTTTTTTCACTTTCGCGGGGGGGAGAGTTCCCCTTTCAGATTAAAACTTGCCGGTTCTCGGTACTTAGGGCATGAGGGAATGAGAAAATTCGCGCATTACTGTGGATGGACGAAATCCTGTACCACCTAAGAAACCCTGGAATGATGATTCCCCCGCCTGCAAATACCAACGCACAATGATTTCCATGGTTCAAAGTGTTGCGAAATGGGTTGCGTCCATCCATAGTGTGGACCGTCTCTACGGAAAACCCCAGGTTCGCTTTCTTGTCATGAAGTGGCGAAAAAACCCAAGTGGCTAACCACCAAACTTGGCAACAAAACATCCAAGTACTGAGATGTGCCAGGAAAAGTTGGGGCGCCCTTGTTTCTCACGCCAACTCACCGGTATTTTCCGTGAAATCGCCAATTCACCGGGGGATTAGTTGTGAGTTTGCCAACTCACCGGTATTTACGGCGAGTTCGCCAAGTCACCGGGTACTTCGCGGTGAACTTCGGTGCCTGTGATCCCCTGAGGCACGGGGCCTTGGAAGGACTTGCCGCCAACCCAGCGCTGGTGTTGCACAGACTGAGCTTTGGTCATTTGGTCCTTCCAAACCAGCAGGACGAATTAAGCGGGTGCGGCTCATTTTTCAGCGGCTAAGCAAGTTTGGATTTATCTCACTCGCTGAGTTCAGCTTTAAGCTTGTAGCGAAGGACAATTTGAATGGCAAATAAAGAGTTCCAGGACCCTTCTTGGCGAGTCCACTCAGGAACTGGGTCAGTCTTGTTCCATAGGTGCCATGTTGCTTTAGACTTTTTTCGGAGGGCGGAAGTACATACCCCTTGTTCGTACCCCTTGGCTTCCGTGGTTTCCCACCCACTTTATAAGGGGTATATACCCCTTTTGGGGAGAGGGGTATGAACATCAGCAGGCCTTTTGGGTTCATTTGTCCAAGGCACATGTAAAAGGGGTATGTACAAGCACCCACGAATTTTTGAGCCGCAGCCAAATTTGGACTCGAGGGGCGCGGGAAAAAGCCCGCTGACTCCGAGGCCCCTTTCATGCGCATGGGCTTAAAATAGCCACGTTTCAATCCGTATCTCGGGCCGGCTGAGCCACAATCACCCCGGCTGAGAGAAGGAAATGATTAGAGATTTGTAGACCACTTCTTGCTATTCGGTTGGATCTATAGACTTTCACTTTTTGGGGACATCTTTTATGGGTTTTGCATTGAACCCAGTGATTCACTTTTTGAGAGGGGTCAACAGCAACCAAGACTTTAAAAGCGGTTTTGGTGGCTCAGCTGAAGGTAACATCTTGTACTCGAATTCGGCCATCGGCCCGCCGGGCTGACCTTTGGGAGCTGTGAAAGCCCATGGATCCGAGCGGTCGTAAAACTCCAAAGGAGCATATCCGGTCGGCTTGCTGTGGGGGCCCAAGGGCTCAGGATTCGTGAACCCCAGAGTTGGGGAGCTGTCCCGTTCAGGCATCCAGGAAATCCTGCACGTTTCGAGTTTCCTTTTGGGTTGATGGCTGTGTCAAATGTTGCAATGTTGACAAAGGTCTTGATGTCCGGTACAATACGCAGGAAGCCACATATAGCCCAGCAGTGGCCCACCATTAGTGGGCTCCAAATTCCTCTTTGGACGTTTCTTTGTTGAAGGTTCCCCTATTTGTTTATGTTTCTAGGCGGAAACCAATAGGAAACCGCAGCCTTTGTTGTTGGGAAGAGCTCCCTACAAGAAGACACCCTCCATTTTGACACATGCCAACCTGTGCCCACGGATGTCCTAAATATTGCCAAACCAAGCATAGCCAATCAACAACACACCGTGGCAAATGGGTAAATGCGAAATCCGTGGATGGACGAAATCCGTTCGCACCACTTTGAAACCATGGTTGAAGCCATTGGTATACACAGGAATCGAAACTCATTCCAAAGTTCCAGGGGTTGATTCCAACCATTATTATCAACCATAACAAACTGGCTGTTTCCCCCTGCGTGTTTGATAGTTCCTGAAAAGAAGGATCCCTGGAAAGAATGGAATTGGAAGGTACCCGTAGACAAGTTGTGAAGGGTGCGAGAAGATGTCGCCGCCACCAGGTTTTCCCTGTTCCCCGCGCCAAAGTTTGGGGCATCCACCGTATCTTTGGGGCTGAGGCCGCTCACTGGGCACTTGCATTTTGCAGGACCGGGGCCCGAGGGTTTGAGGACCTGGACACATCAACCCCAAAAGGCCGTGTTTTTTGGAGGGGTCTCAGCAAAATCGTGTGCCTTTTTTGGGTGGAAAGGTCTCCCTTCCCCAAAATCTTGATTTGCTTTTTTGGAAAGGTCTCCCTACACAATCAACCAAGAACAAAAAGGCGGCAAATTTGTGTTTTTGACTGGGCTCCCTTTGGCAAAGATAGTGCACGTGGACAGGGGGACGTTTCGAGAGGACAGTCTTCCAAAATCTTTTTGTGAGCTTCAATTGTTGGAAGCTGGGCATTACGCTCTGCCACGGAAGATGGAAGTGCAAAGGAACCAGTAGCAAAACAAAGTATTTCTCCACCACTAAAGTCCTATCCTCAAATACTGGCGGGGGGTGAAACTTCAGTTTCCCAGTTTCGGGAATGGCAGCTGATTGGGAAACAACAAGTCGCTTTGGTGAACTAAAGGTTCTATTTTTCCAACCAATCCGCCTGGGCGAACGTGTGGGCATTAGTGTTTCCAACCAATCCGCTCGGCATTTGCTTTGCCTGTCCCGCGTCGGTGATTCGTTTCTCAATCGATTGCTAGTGGGCCCCGCTGTGGCTCGGCCGGGCTCCCATCCTGGGCTTTGATAGCCTATAGCATTAGGTCAGCGAAGCTGAAACCAACCGGGTGGGTCCCTTTTTCAGGAGAATACCAAGAACGGAGCCTTTCGCCGGTTTTTCAGTGTCTACAAGAACCAGGAATTCAAATCCAAATCCAAACCACCAATTATAGAAGTTACCTGAAATGACCCCCAACTCCAAGAAAAAAATGCGGGCCTTGCAGGACAAGGAAAGGAAGCCAAGACCATACAACGTTGGAAAACTGTGACTTCCTTTTTTGCGGGGGTTCATTCTGGAAAAAAACAGAAGAACAAAGGGAAATCCGTTCAGGGAATCTACCTAGAACGGAACACGGGGGCTGGGCTCCGGAGCTTCGAGTTCCGGATGCGTGTTCTCGTTGAGGGAACACCGGTTCATTTCTGTTTCACGGAAAGAAAGCCAGGGAGCGCACGCCAAAAAAGGAAAAACACGTTGAAAGCTGAACTTGTTGTTTTTTCAGGCCTCCTTTTCAAGTCTTACCCGTTTTGTTTTGGTTTCCTCTTTCTTCGAGGTCGCCGGGGGTCAACCACCTATTTTCGGGGGGGCCGGCCGCGGCTTTTCCCGTCGAAGCCAAAACCGGGGGCCGGCCGACAGGTGGGCAGCGAAGGTCTGCCGGGCTTCGAGGCCCTGGAGCTGCCCGGGAACTCCGCGGCCTGGCGGGAGACCGATCGCTCCGCGATCTCTTCGCTTCGGATGGGGAGCCGTTGGCAAAATGTCGATGGAATTTGGCTAGATATAACATGTATATATATATATATATCTGTATATGTGGTCTGCGTATATAGATATGAGCTCACGATATATTAAAGAACTATAGAGAGTCGCAAGATTTGGGGTCCCTGCCCCAGAAAGGTTTGAGCACCCTTCCAGAAGTTTCCTAGCCGTGTGCTACTGAGTCCGGGAAAAAAGGGAACAGTCAAAAAGACGACACGGAGGTTGCGGCATAGGTATCCTTGGTGGTTCCCGGCCGTGCGGTTCCTTACGATTTGTTTTAGCTTGTTAGTTGGCGTAGTTTCTTAAATGGTGTCCATTTAACCCACTACAAGTTCTCGACTTTTGGCCGGGGATCTTTAAAATGGACAGCCTGGAACTGCTGACTTTGACGGGTTCCACCGGTTCCAAATGGAACCCGGAAAGTGTTTCAACAAGTTGCTGGACTCGAGTTGCTGGACTCGGCTGGATGTATTTGTCGAGTTGCTCATGTTGTTGTTTGCTTGCCTGCTTGTTTGCTTGCTTGCCTGCTTGCTTGCTTGTTTGATTGTTTGTTTGCTTGGTTGTTTGTTTGTTTGATTGTTTGTTTGTTTGTGCGCTTGCTTGCTTGCTTGCTGGCTGGCTGGCTTGCTTGTTTGTTTGTTTGTTTGTTTGTTTGTTTGTTTGTTTGTGTGTTTGCTTGTTTGCTTGCTTGCTTGCTTGCCTGCTATCTTGCGTTGTTTGTTTGTTTGTTGTGTTTGTTTGTTTGTTTGCGTGTTCGTTTGTTTGTTTGTTTGTTTGTTTGTTTGTTTGTTGGTTTGTTTGTTTGTTTGTTTGTTTGTTTGTTTGTGTGTTTGTGTGGTTGCTTGCTTGCTTGCTTGCCTGCCTGCCTGCCTGCTTGCTTGCTTTGTTTGCTTGCTTCCTTGCTTCCTTGCTTGTTTTGTGTTGTGTTGTGTTGTGTTGTGTTGTTTTGGGTTGTTCGATAGTTTGTTTGCTTGGTTGCTTGCTTGCCTTGTTTTTGTTTGTTTGTTTGCTTACTTGTTTGTTTGCTTTCGTTGGTTTGTTTGCTTGTTTGTTTGTTTGATTGTGTTGTTTGTGTTGTTTGCAATGGTTTGTTTTGTTTTGCCCTTTTGTCCCGTTTTGTTTGTCTGTTTTTTTTGTTTTTCTCTTGCGTGCGTGCGTTGCTTGTTTGTTGTTGTGTTTGTCTGTCTGTCTGTTTGTTTGTTTGTTGTTTGTTTGTTTGTTTGTTTGTTCACGTGTCCTGCAAGCACATAACTTGTTGCAGGGGTCCAAGTCTGGCCATGAAATCTAAGCATTGGGTTGTGTTACCGTGTTGGTATTTCTTTTGGGCCGCCCGCAAACGCCACCATGCAAAAGGCTGCCCTCAACACAAAGACACCGTGGACCAGAATCTAAAAAACACAATGTTGTTTTGCTGGAAGCACAGCTGAAGCACAGAAATCTGGGCAATGGTTGTCAATGGCCCTTGCAATCGTAGGTTTCCTTCAAAGGATGATGGATATTGTTTTTGGGCAGTCCCCTGTCACTATTCCGCTGGTTGGAGCAATGAGTATTGACTGTGGCTGTAAATGTGGGGGTGTCAACTGAGGTGGTTTTCCTTTCGGTTTCCCTTTAAACGACCAAACAACGGTTCCCTTAAACAATGACACACCCATATCTCTTAAGGAGCCCCGCTCGCGCAGGAGCTTTGCAAACACTTCCCGGGACAGAAGGCTGGTGGGCCCGTTCCGATACCCAATCGCGGGTTCTACAGTCTTTGTTCAGTTGATTTGAGGCCTAAGTCAACCAAGAGAAGGGTGCCATTTTTCCTATAGCTGTTGCGGTTATGGGCCGTTTCTTTGCCGTTTGCGAGTTGCAGTGAGATCCTTCTAATTACATCCTTTACCCAGTCGATCAGTGCTGGGTAACTGGTTGCAAGCATGCTTGTTGGACTAACGAAAGTGGAAACCGCCTGGGTGATGCCTGTGAGATAGACTATTGGCGATCAAAGCAACCGCCACAATCGAACCCGGAGAATACGCGTGTCGCTCGGCTTCTAATCCGACAGATTTTGAGGGGAATCGATACGTGGGCTATGACTGCTATTCAAGCCCGGGTGGGTGGGTGGGTGTGGGTGGGTGGGTGGGTGGGTGGGTGGGTGGGTGGGTGGGTGGGTGGGTGTGGGTGGGTGGGTGTGGGTGGGTGTGGGTGGGTGTGGGTGGGTGTGGGTGGGTGTGGGTGGGTGGGTGGGTGGGTGGGTGGGTGGGTGGGTGGGTGGGTGGGTGGGTGGGTGGGTGGGTGTGTGTGATTGTGTGGGTTGCCGCCGACTATTCCAGTGCGTGCACACAATGTGCCTGCCAAGAAGCAGAAACAGGATCAGCATTTGACCTTTGATTGCGTAACGCTCATTATTGCCAGAGTTCACTGACCTTTTTGCCCCCTTTTCCTTTTGGGTGTTCTTCACTAGCCACTCCTCTCCCCCCCCCAAACGGCTGCTGCTTTCCTTTTCCCTTTTGAGCAGCAGCAAGTTACACAAGTGTTTGCAGGCCTAGACCAAGCAATCTGTGATAGCCAGTCTGATTTAGGCTACCGCCTCTTCTCGACATGTCGCAGCCACGTTTGTTTTCATGGCTGGTCTCAAGGGCGTGCCCATCGCCAAGGCCCAATACGACCTTTTGGACACAACTTGTGGGCTCTTCCATTGACCAAAAGATCGGAGCCTTGGCTCCGAAGAGCGAGGCATGGTATTCGCCAGGTGTCTTTATCTGCAGGTATTTGGCGGCAGGCGCAGTGTTGCGTCACTTGAGCCGCGAGCCGCGATTGAGTGGTGTGCGGTTTTGGATGGGGCCAACACTTGGGGGTCGCAGCTGATTGGCTCCTGAGGTTTTTAGATGTGGTTTAGTGGGTGGGTGTCCACTTAACCCACTAAAAGTTCTCGACTTTGAGCAGAGAACACAATCCTATGCCACAGTTGTCCTGAAGGGTTTTTGGGGTGCCAGGAAAGAATAGATGGGAACAGGTCTGTGAGCAGTGCTCAGGGAGCAGCGGAAAAAGGTTGAAGAGGGCCTGGGTTCTTCCAATTTTCTTACTCCCACCAAAGGTTGGGTGATTGAAATTCCCACCCCCAAGGCGGGGGAGTGGAAATTACCGGGGCACCAGTTTGACCGTTTCTTCAAAGTCAGAGACTGGTTGGTGGTCTTCCCCCCTTAGCCTACCACTTTGGGGGGGTGACTTTGATCCCCGTATAATGGGGCTCACTCCCTGAGTTCATGGACTTCAGTTACTTTCTGGGTTTGGACCAGTTTAGTGGGAAACAGACAGTTTGGTTACTTTTTCGGGCCAGTCCATTCAGTAAGTGAGTTTTGCAGCTCTTTACAAGAAGTCGGCATGGCGTTCCGAAAAGTCCGTTTGCAGAGGCATTGTCCAAATCCAAGCTTCGCATTCGCATTTCAACTTGCAGAAGGGTTTGGAAGGGGTTGGTGGTCACTTCTGTAAGGAACCTCCACCTGGATCATTCTTCATCTGGAAAACCTTTGGTAACCCCTTCCCTGGATTTGCAAGTAATGTTGACTCCATATGAATCAACTCCGGTTTATTAATAGGGGGTGTTCCCTCCAAAAGTGATGATTCCCCGCTAAACCCAGGGACACCCCCCTATTAATAAACTGGGGTTGATGAATGCCGGGGCAACATTAAATGAGTCCTGTTACATTCCGGTACTTTCCGCAGTTCGCAAGATTCCGCGCTCAAAATCCCTAGTCCCAGAGAGAAGGGTCGACCATCGTTCCTATTTGTTTTCTTCCGCCAGCACCCAAAAACCTTTTTCGGAACACATAGTCGCAACTCGGTTTGCTTCTCGTATTACGTATGTTCCTTCACTTTGGCTCTAGCGGACGTGGGCCACATCCCTCCCCGTCGTATGGGCCGCGGTGGCTCGGACGAAATGGGACAAAGGCTGCGTGTCCTTCTCAGTGCACTATGGTAGGCAAAGCGTGGCAACCATATATTTTGTTGTTCGTGTTTGAAGGGTGTCTCCCTGGGCTACTAGTTATTAATGAATGACCGGACACAGAACTGGGTGGATTGAGGAGAGGCATGAGGCTCGGCCTCCCTGGAAGTGGGAAACAAACGGGTTGTTTTGTAAAGGGGGAACCAAATCAAACCAAACAACAAATACCAATTGTCGGGGTTGAATATATTGAAGAGGCGCACTTTCGGGCCCCCTACTCACCAGGAAGGTTTGAGAACCCTTCAATTAGAGCGCCTTGAAAAGGAAGGGCATTTCTCCGAACCAGGTGTTTGATTTCCTTTTCATTCTCATAAATCCAGGATTCACAAGCCCTTGATTGATTTCATACGGGGCTGCAAGCGGGGAGATCCCCCTAGCAAGACTCCCACTGGGTCTCGACTTTCGATCAGCAGCAAGAAATGACTGGGCTGCAAGTAAACTCAAGCAGCAGGCTAAGCCACAAACCACGGAGTAAATTGAGGGGTCTGTTGGTTAGAGCTGATGGAGAACATGACAAGGGTTTTGAACCGACCTGAAGTTCTGACTTTGATGAACCCCCTACTCCAAATACCTGCTATTAGGGTATCATTTCCACCCCCGCCTGAAAAATGTGGATATTCAACATTGAAACACAAGAGTGGTATCTCCGAAAGCCCAGCAACTCACGGGCTGCTTCAAGACGACCAGATAGCTATCGGTTAGCGGCTTCATTTCTTGACTGCTATTGGGTTGGATCTTTAGACTTTAACTTTTTGAGAAATAAAGGTGCTTTCTACTAAACCCCCAAAAAGTTAAACTTTTTGCAGGGGGGTCACCAGCAACCAAGATTTGGCTTAGGGACCAACGCATCACAAGTTTGAGGCTTGATCCAGTCCCCTTGCACTGAGGGATTATCCAGCCCTTGGGCATGGATCACATCGTTTCACATTGACAGACTCCCTGGGCTCTCCTCCAAAGCGACTTCATGCCTTCCAGGCTAGACATGGTAGACTTATCTTCTGACTCAAAATACAATTTGGATCCATGCAATTTGGTTTTTAAGCGTAGAGAGTCTGAGGGTTTCTGTGAGCCGAGGACGTGGCCCTTCCCCGAGAACGTAACATGTACTCGCCAGAGGTGGGGAAGAGAGCTCCGCGCCTTTGAACTGGTGGCCATCAAATGGGGGCTCGTCGTTTTTTTGAGGTTGGACGCCCAGAATGGCTTCGATTTGTTTTACTTTCCAACTTTAGTGCACGCAAAAAGCGGGACCAACTCAAAAAAGACACGCCCCTTGTGAACTGGCCGGACATGCAAATGCGCAGGGCTCATGAGTCTCGCCACACAAAGCGCGCAACCCGGCAAGCAGAAGGTTTCCATGCACTAGCCAGTGAGCCCTGCAATCCTGTTAGGTTGTTTTCGTTTCAGTTGGTTCAGCGGTTTGCGGTTTCCATTTCGCCCACGAAGAGTCGTCGACTTTTCGCCTGGGGTCCGAAAAAACGGGCTGCGAAATGCGTCGACTAGTCGCCAGGTCGCAGCTCGGACGATGTTCCTTTGCATCCCCGTGCGGCTGAGTGTGCTGGCACGGGACCCAACACGTTGGGAAACGCCCTGACCCACCGTACCCGGTGGCGGAGAGGGGGGTTTGCTTAAACAATGCTTCACCGGAACCTCATTTCACAATCCCCTGGTTGACGCAATAGGTGTCCCCCTTTAGAGCTGTTTCAGACCATTTTTGGAGGGAACAGCTGTTTTGTTTGAAGCTATAAACCCCTCCTAGTCTGAACGTATCTCAGAATCAGAGGACCCCCCCGGGCAAGCCGCCCAAGAACCTTGCAGAAAAGGAGCCTTTTGTCCAAGCAAATGCGTCCGGGATTGGACGCGACTTCTGCCACTTGGTTTGCAAAGAGTCTTGCGTCGCAGGCCCCCCATATGTTATTTTCCAGAGCACCTGTTTCACACCCAGCTTAGAGTGGATGATGGTGTTGACACATACCCGCCATTGGCAAGGGAACCTGCACTAGAAAGCGCACGATTGGGTCGCCCGTGTAGGATAGGAGGATGAGCTTTGCCTGGGCAATGAGCCAAAAGCAAATCCCGGGTCAGATCTATCTCCAAACGGACAGCCCAGGTTTGGTCGCTTTTTTCTTGACTGCTATTGGGTTGTATCTTGAGACTTTAAACTCTTGAAAAATCAAGGGGGCGTCCACTAAACCCACAAAAAGTTAAGCTTTTTGCAGAGGGATCTGCAGCAACCAAGTTTTTGCGGAGCCTCAGACGGGGCTTACCTTTACACTCGCCCGTTTTCATGGACCTCCACTGGGCTCACGCGACGAGGTGTCGGCCCTGGTGGTCACGCTGACTTCCCTGCTTTACGTTGTGGATTACAGGCCTCAGATCCGAGCGCGGTCTTTAGCAAAAGCGGTCTGGCATGTTCTGTATGGCTATTTGGTAACGGATCTTTGGACATTAACTTGTTGGGAAGCAGAGGATGTTCTAGGGCCAGGTGGGATGGTCTTTTTGGTTGCGTGTGACGTGTTTGGATGGTTTGACATGAGAAGAAAATCAATCCACCCATCCTGATCAAACCACAAAATTTGGGCGGTTCCCCTATTTTGAAACAAACCCAGGCAACCAAACCATATAACCATGCTAGTAACACCAACCTTCAAGGCGCCACCTACAAAGTTGGTTGAGCGTCCAAGTGGTCATAGTTTGGGTACCTTCACCCATTGCGACTAGGGGTTTCAGGTCAAGTGAAGGGGGCGACTCTGTGCGCTCGCAGGAGAGGCGCGACTCTGTGCGGGTAAGAAATGATTCCTTTGCCGACGGTGGACTGACATTTCGCTGAAAAGGTGCACAGGCCACGCGTGCGCACCACTACAGCTTGACATCCCCCAATTCATAGGGAGGGAGGCCGCATTTGCCCAATGGGCCTCCTTTTCTACTTGTGCGCAGCCTCCAAATGGCCCTTGCGTGATTTCCCAAAACCAAAAGGGGGTGGGTTGTTTTGCATGTTGCTTCTATTTAATGCCCCCCGTATTCTGCCACCCTTCCACCCCCGCGTAACAGCAAACAAATACAGCAAAACAAAACCTGGGTTGTGGGATCAAGGGGTTTATCTCCACCTCTGTAATACAAGAGCATCTCCCCATATCAAGATTGGGGGCTTAGTCTTTGGGCCGCGCCCTTTCTGTTGTATCACAGAAGTGGATTCCATTTCCCACAGCCCTAAATAAGATTGGTTTGGCTTCCTTCCGGAGCCCCCCCCTCCATATTTTCAGTCGACATGAAACACGAGGCCCCATTTGCTGGCGTTCATACAACTGGCTGAAAAGCTCCTGTGGCTGCTAAAGCTCCTTTGGGTGTTTCTAAGAATTGGCGGCTGGTCCCTTAGTCGCCCTGAGTAGCAAGCGGTCCGACGTCGATCCCACATCCAGCGCCAGTCTCTTCAAGAGCCTCGGGCTGCGAAGCTTCGTGGGCGGCTTCGCAGGACCCTCAGTGCTTGGCCCCGTCGAGTCCTCGAAGGCAAAATCGGACCCCGGAAAGGGGTTGATTTCTTGGGAAGCTGCGTAGCTCCTTTTATTTGTGGGATCGACTTTTTAGGAAACCGAAGCAAAAAGAAGTACCCCACATGTGCGACGCAGGTTGACTGAATAGGAGGCTCGAGGGGATCCTTCAGTTTCGGGGCGGGGGGCTAGGGGGCTATACTCATATGTGTGTGCCACGTTGATGGATGCCAGGTGAACATGAATAGCAAGGTCGTCCTTTTACGACTACAACTCGGAAAAGTGGTGTTCCCGCTGGCCTTAAAAAGAGTTGGCAAAGGACGGGGGTTTTGGGAGGGCAACTGGTTGTTGACTGGGGACTACAACAGGGTTCGACACATAGAAACCTAACAAAATCAATGCAAATTAATTTGCCCCACACCCGTCAGAACGCGGGGTTGTGTCTTCAGGTTGCTTTAAAAGGGAAACCAAAAGGACACTGAAATCCATGGGTCCGAATTCGCTTGGCTCCCGCCCGTAATTAAGGCTGCCACGAAAGCGGCAAGATTGTAAAGGCTGCCTCCTAAACGGGACGCCGGAGAAGTGCCCGGATTTTGACAAGGCTCCCAAAAACTTGACACGCGAAGCAAGTCGGGTGGTATGGGTAGGCCTACTTCAGCCCCGATCGGACCCGTATTAGCCAGCACCCTCCGACTACCGTCTAAATTTTATTTTCGGAACTACCGGGTATTTGGCAGTAGTTCCGAAAATAAAATAAACGACAGTAGATCCGCGATCTACGGTCGTTTCATGTTGCCCCAAGCAGGGAAAAACAAGACCACGGGGTGACACGGTGACACGGGGTGACACACAGGCGACACAGGGTGACACGCAGGCGACACGGGGTGACACGGGGAGACACGGGTTGACACGGGGGCGACACGGGGCGACACGGGGGCGACACGGGGCGACACGGGGGCGACACGGGGGCGACACGGGGGCGACACGGGGTGACACGCTCAAACGACAGTAGTTCGCAGCGATCTACTGTCGTTCTGGGGGGGGCGACACGGGGGTGACACGGGGTGACACGGGGGCGACACGGGGGCGACACGGGGTGACACGCAGGTGACACGCAGGTGACACGGGGTGACAGGGGTGACACGCTGTGAGTCGTTTGTGCACTTGCTGCCACCCCTTGATTGCTACCCCCCTGCTATGGCATCTCCCCGTTGTAAACAGTAGCTAGCAGTACTTAGACTATGGGCATCCCGCAAATAAAATAATTGACAGTAGTTTTTCTAACTACGGTCGTTTTTGGGTAATTTCTATCTACTGCCGTTTGGGCAGTAGTCGGAGGGTGCTGGAGGGTGCACAAGTCTTTAGGGGACCTCAGCTTGTTCATGTGCGGGACTCGTGTTTGAAGACATATTTGAGGCTACCTCTTGGAAGGGTAGTGTTTTTGCCACGTGTACTCCCCCCGAACACCCAAAACAGTCGTATGGAGGTATGAGCCCAAGCTTGTCGCAGCGGGTTGCAAAAAGCAGACTGAAAGCTGGTTGCCCGGCGCCAAATGGACTGAACCCCCCCCCCCTTTTTGGATGGACGGCGCTTGAAACGTTAGATTTTGCTGGGTTTTGACGCAGTCGTTGGGTCTTGGCTGGTGTAAGACACGCGGTGGCAGCCTGAAGTTGTTTCGTGGTTTCTTCTTTCCGGAAAAATACCCTCGCACCTGTTCAAGTGGAGCCTGACGTTCTTGAAATGGTCCCTGCAAAAGGAACATGGTCCAAACCAGGATCCCCCGGCAGGTTTCATGATTCATTGGTGGGAGGGTATTTCCAAGGCAGGGAGAGACAAACTGCAAAAAACAACGAAAAACGGCTAGGGCGTGGGCGGCAACATCTGCACGTTGGTCGCAGAGGAGAGGGGGGGTTCCGTCTAGACGTTTGCGGGTAAATGGGTAACCCGTTGGTTGAAGGAGGGGTGTTCCCCTTTTTTGTGGACCAGACCATTTTGGGAGGGAACACCTACACCCGTCTATTGCTAGGATTGATTAATATTTCCGGGTTGACCTTCTTGGGGTGGCTGTCACCAATTTTGAGATAAGCCCATCTGAGCGCTGTTTGAATCCTTGCAAATCATGACGAGCTCGCCAAAACTCATTTGCACCATTGACTTGATTGAATCTCCGTGTTTGGAATGATCATTGCAGTTTGATGGACATGACAAACAAACTCTCACCCTGAAACAAGTGATGTCAGCTGGCACTTGCAAACACCTAGAAGCCTTCCAGTGAGGGTCGGGCCAAGCGGCTTTTGGTTTGAGTGGAGTTTGGTTTTGTTTGCCCCAAGGCTTGCCCAATTTGAACAGCGGCTCCTCAATTCCGGACCTCCAAAAGCGGCGGTTTTGGTGGAATCAGTTAGTTAAGCCTGGTGGGGAACAATTGGTTCAACCGACCTACCCTTCTTTCGGGAGTCCAACAAGGCATTTTGTTGACTTCCCACCAAACATGGAACTTTAGTCTTGCACAAAGGGTCTGTGCACTCTGAATACCCCCATCACTCCCCGAAACACGCACAACGCCTGAAGAGGTGCATTTCTTTATTCACTTCCGTGTTTTGTATTGGAAGATCAGAGGTGTCCTTTTTGGGTTAGTTTGGTTAGAATTAAATGGCTTCCACCACAAAGACACTCATTCATTTTAACCAGAAGGTCACCCAATGCTCAAGTTCTGGTTGGCATCGCCCTGGGACCATGCGCGTTTGTTGTGTGGCTTTTGGCCAGTACTCCGGCTTTCTCTTCGGGTTGCTGGGGGTGCTGGGCTGCTGGTATGGCCGCAGAGATTGGGCCTGGGTCTCCCAGCTTGGGCTTGGGTCCCGATGGCCCCCAGGCGGACCAAGTCGTACTTTGAAAATGAGGCGCTTTCCCACTAGGGGTTCAAACATCGACAAAACACAAGAATCAACAACAAGGAAATTAACACAGCGATTGAACATGAACAATCACGACAAGCAAGCTTTCTCGCTTCCTGCGTTTCTGGACTTTAAACTTTCTGGGTAGATTTGTTTAGTGGTAGTCAACAAGTTTAGGCTTGTTCTGACCAATCCCCTCAGGAAGCGAGCTTTTGTAGGAGTTCGTCTTGCAGGGCAAGATGGATGGTATTGTGGGCGCGCAATTTGTGGGGTTCGACTGCTTTTTGAGGGTACCACGGAAGCCGAAAGGAAATGGGGGTCGCATGTTCAACTCTTTGGTTGGTGCCCTATTTTGAGACATACCCTTACCTGGACCTTCCGGGGGGGTTGGCCAATTGTAGGCGTTGGCCAAAAAACAAGCGTTTTTTTTTGCCTTTGGTGTGAACAAATGCTTTTAGGGCGACAAAATGCCGGCGCTCATATTTGTTTGCGCCGCGGTTCTGAATGTTCGCCTGTTGGTCGGGAATTTTCGCTTGTTGGTCGGGAATTTTCGCCTGTAAATTCGGGGCAAGAAAAGGCCGTAGGCAAAACACACACGCAATTGCCTCAAAAAGCAATTCGTAGGGAAAAGGCGGACATTTTGAGCATGCAGGAAGGTCCAGGTGTCAAGCTTGGGCCCCAGAAGGATAGTTTCAGAAAGAGGAGTATAAGGACCATAGGTATCCTTTTGATCCGTTAGTTTGCCTAAAAGTAGATGCCACTGGTTTAGATGGGCGTTATTCCATTGAAAGGCCACCTATGATAAGGCTACGATGTTAAGATGATCGCTGATCGTGTGCATTTTGCAGCTTGCCATGTACTGTATATGCTTTGCAGGTAACAGCCATGTGTAGCGGCGGTAGCCAGCCTTCGCCGGAAATCACACACACACACAGATGCACACATCCCTGTGGTTCCAAGCTTTGAAATGGGCCCACTCATATACACCATCCCTACCCTCCTTCCCAACATGAAACCCATAGGTCTCCTTAAGGAGATTATGTTCCTGCAGCCGTCCAAACAGCTTGTTGCCCGTGTCACAGATGCGTGAGATGACGGTGGGCCTCTCGGCAGGTTCTGCTCATTGCCAGACTGAATTCCTTTTTGTGTGGTTCAAGTGTTACCTACATAGCTCCCCAACCTCCCCCCCCCATCAGAACTTTGCCTTGCTTCAACCAGCAAGAAGCTGGCTTTTGCAGAGGTCTAATCGTGTTGCCCGGCACCGGTGCCACTTGCTTGGTTCTTGAATGGCCTTGGAAATCCTGTCCCATCCGGTTTAGCGCACGCCCAGGTGAAGTCCTACAACTTATGGCTCTGGTTTCGGCTGCTTTGCTATGCTGGCATGCCTGGCACTCAATCCGCTCGCTGACTCATGTTGTTTAGCTGGAGCTTAGTAGAAGGCCCCTCTGGGAAAGAGTGGTTTGCTGGGATCTTGATCTGTTATTCTTGCACCAACACGCAATGCTCCGCCAACCAGAGAGTGATATGTTGAGGGATGCAAAGGTGAATATGCTGGGGGTATGGTTGTTCTGCCCTCATTGAGGGAGCCTTTGTTTTCAAGGCTTGTTCCAGCTATTCTTGAACAGTGACCCCTCCTTTCCTTTTAGTAGAAATACATTTGAATCGCGTATGGTGGGAGAGGGGGGATCTCCAGGTTTCCACATTGCCATCAGCCCCTGTGAGTTTGGCAGCCTGGAGCTTTTCCTTGCTAGTTCACTCTTGGCAGGTCTGGCCCAGTTTTTTGCGGCCCAGTTTCACCCCAACAATTCAGTGACAGGTCCACGGTAACAAACGGATCGTGGATCCGAGGTCTTCTCCAACAAGGACGCAAGGGCAAGCGGTAAGAGGGGACTTGAGTTTATGAGATCAGAGCCCTAGCTGATGGCCTAATTATGTCCAACTTGGAGCGGGAACGTGGCAGGAAGCGCTGGTGTTGGGATCTGCCAAATGAAGAATCCTGCCACCTGCTTGAATTCTATGACGAGTCCATGGAAGCTCCCATCCTTTGGCTTCCATAGAAGCGCCTATGCCTTCCTGATTGGGCTGGGGCACTTCGGTTGATGTACGTAGGTTTTCAGCGGCCTTAGGGCCAAAGCATCCTTTGGGAACTTTCGTTTCTTGCCAAAGTGTTCTTGCAGTTGTAACAGGCCTTTGCTTGTTTCTGGGGCTAGAGGCACTTTGGCCCAGTTGTTTGATCCAGTTTGTTAAAACCTAGGGTTTGTACAAATGAATGGTATTTTGCTCAAGTGACAAAGGTATGTCTTGATCTGACTTTTGCAGAAGACCAATCTGCATCGCCTCTTTAGACTGCAACTAGACTTGCCTCATGCTCGTGAAGAATCCTTTGATGTGTTGCATCCGTACCTGGCCAAGGTACTACTTTGACCTGCCGCTGATTATGCACTGCGAAAATTTCGCCCGTTTCCCCAGTTTCCGCTTGCAGCTCTTTGCACGGGGATATTATGAGCGGACGATATTACTGGGATATCGGGTTTGGGTGCTCCCCTCCTGCTTGTTGCTGGTAAAAGTGTCGGGTACCCGCATATGTATATATATACATATATATATATGTATATATGTGTGTGTATGCACGAAGCAAGTGAACTGACAAAACATGTTGATGCATTGGTGAAACATGTTGCATGTCGTACATATTCTCGCGCACGGCATGTTTCGCCCGCGATCTTGAAGGTTCAATCCAGAGCGACCCACGGATGCATTGTTCAGGGTTTTAGCAATATGCGGCCTCTTGGTGAGGCCTAGGCCTTATTCTTGCAAAGAGGCCTACTTACGGCCCTAGGGCCTTATTGAGTAAGGTTTCAGCTTTTGAGAAACGTTTTAGGGCTTGAAAAGTATGTTCCTACATTAGGCCTAGGCTTTGAAAAGTATGAATGGCAGTCCTGAGCAGCTTTGGGGCCACATTTTTTCTTGAAGGTGTTGGTGTGTTGCAGGATTCGTGACCACTTGCGCACCGGCCGTGTTCTGCACGGCCCCGTGCAGGCTTAAAAGTGAAGAGCATTTCAAAACGTAGATGGTAGGAAGGTTGCAGCTATGCTTCTGCTGAGAACATATTTTCGGCTTTTAGCGCTAGCATGCACTTATATTGCTATTTCAATTTCACATATGTACCTGTTCTCTGCCTTTCCGCTTATCATCACAGATGCTGAGGCATCTGGCACAAGCCGGCCCCATGACTCTTTGGTGTCACATCGTCCCTTTCTTTGCTTGATAGTATTTCTCTTGGGCTGATCCACTTCTCCCTCTGCGGGCAACGATGGGCTACCGTCGCTTTCCTGCTTCACTATGATGGTCGCCAATCACGATCGCCATCTTGGCATCACTTCTGCACAAGCAGAAGCCCACGCAACCCCCAAAACCAATCTTTTGCTTAGCCCGGCGCAGCTTTTGTGCAAGAGTGCGGCTTTAGTTCCGGCGAAGAAGTGCAGGGAAACGGCGTCGGCATATCCAAGGGCAAGTGTGGAATTTTGTTCAGTCGCAGAGCCACCTTGGAGCAAGAGGACTCGACCTGAAGACGCAGTGTCACTCAGAGCGAACAGCAAACACATGCCTTATCAACCCCAAGCCAACTTTTGGCTCGCTACTCAGCACATATACTCGGCATGACACGCAGAGAAGCCTTTTGACCTACTGTATGCAAGGACTCTTGTAGGCTTGCTGCTTGTTTTGGCAAGGCCTTGAATACTCTCAGTTATATACCAATTTCTCAACTTCTTGGATGAGCCCCAACATGTAAAGCAAAGACCCCTTTGCCTAACCGGAGAGATGTCCGTGATGGCATCGCAAGGCACGAAGCTTTGTTACGAAACATGCTCGTTTGTCCACTGGTTAGCTAAAACGGGCTGGCGCTGGTAGGAACGGTCATCAATCCCTCGGGAAAAGCGAGCTGAGAAAACGACCTCCTCTCCGGACACTATGCCCCTTGTTGTTTGTGGTGTGTGCAGAAAACCTAAAAGGACACTGCCATTATTATCAGTACTATTCTTATTTTGGGGGGTCCCTAAAAAAGACAGACGTACTTGGCGTCCACCAAAGGGTCGTTTGCTTCAGCATGGATCAGCATGTCGGAGATGATTTGTATGGTTGATTGAAAGTGTGAGCTTGTTTCGTTTGTTTGTTGGGTTTGGTTTGCTTTGTTTTGCTTTGTTTGAGTGTTTTTTTTGGCTTTTGCTCACCCAGCTCGCTCCCAGGTCAACAGTTTGCAGCTGACCACCGAGGAGTACGGCTGGGGGCCCAAGAAACTTTGGAGTTCCTTCGAAGAGTTTGCTCCTTTCAGGTAAGCCGTCAGGTTGGTTCATCTCACGCTTGCCCTTTACCTCACTTCCCAAGTTCCTAGACTCTAGGGCGCTTTCTCGGAAGGCCATTCTGGTGGCAAAGGGCAAGCTTAAAATTTTCCAGAGCAAGCCGCTCAGGAAGTGAGACTCCCACAATCAGTACCCAAACCCGTCACTCTGATTTGTTTTGCCCCTTGTACTGCATTGTTACAGAGAGGATGCAACAAAATGATAAAATTCAAGTTTCACCTCCAGGAAAAGCAGAAGTATACCGTCTGGCCCAGACACACAAATATCAGCTGCTTCAGATCCGAATCCTTGCATATCGACTGGTTTTGGATGTCTCCTATTTGGCTGCAGCCATTTTCTGTTGGGCTCAATTTGTGAACGCGTGTTCCCTTTTGGTTTGAAGCCACATGGTAAGCATACCCGCTCAAGTGCGTTCCTGCAGATGTTTTGGCACACACCCACATGAGTGCGTTGCCAAATGGGGCCGTCCCCTGAAATCGCACTGGGTGTCATAGAAGCTCAACTCAAATTGGGGCCAATGTTCATCCCCCCTTTGGATCCCTCTAAGCTAACTTTGGGCTAGGCAAATGGTAAGCGTACCCGCCACGCGCACCCGCTCAGCACTGCAAGCGTGCCAGCCGGTAAGCAGACCCGCTCACTCGCACCCGCTCAGCACCGCACACACGCCAGCCAAATGGTAAGTTTGCCGCGGTCGAATTGGAGCCGATGATGTGGAGGACAAAGACCAAGACATGGTTGTTGCCGTTTGCTTCGCTTTTGTGCAAAAGTCCAGGGACCAGCCTGGTGGTTTTGCTCGTTCTCTTTTTGGGGCCGATGCTGTAATGCAAGCTGAATGGAACGCATGTCGCGCAGGGGACCAAAAGAAAAACTGTGGTTTGTGTCCAGACAGAATTGGATGAGCTGTAACCATGAAGCATACACGTTTGCTAACCTGATAGCTACAAATCGTTGTCTCGTGGAGGCGAAATGAGAGCGAAATGAGCGCGAAATGCGCGTTGCACTTCTGCGGAAAAGTTGTGTTTCGGAAAGGCCCAAAACGGAAAAGTTGTGTTTCGCCTCACGGCGGCAAGGCAGCCACCAGCCTTGTTTAGGGTATGTGTTTTGAACACCCGTTTTGTCCATGGCAAATAAGTTCCTTCTGAAATCAGGGGGTCTCATCATGCCCAACACCCACCTTTTGACCTTGGTGTTGTTTTTCCCATACTGCTCCTGTGATTCTGACTCGGTACCCACATGCCGGTTTAGACTGTTGCCGGACTGAGCCAGCCCCTTTACCTGCTGGGTTTTCTGGTTCACTTCCTGACCCTTTATCCTAAAGCATCATTGGACTATCCAATGTGCCTTAGAGGAAGGTGTTGGACCTCAAAAAGGGCCTTTTTCAGCCCTTTGGCTTCTGACCAAGCCAAGAGCATGTCACAGCCCAAAGTTTCCACAAACAAGGGACTGAGTCGTTGCGTTTGGATCGCTCAGCTTTTGCTTGCTCCAGGCCAACTGATTGTCAAAGCCAGCTACAAGAAATTGTCGAGAGGAAGGATTGGCTAGATACTGCTCCGATAGTCATATTTATGCGCCATGAACGCGCAGGGAGGGGTTCAAAGGAAACCAAAGCCACTCCAAAGGGAAGCAACCATTTCCGCCAAATGCTCATATTTGGTCACTTCCTCCAGTGAGCGCTCAGGCTACAACCCCGTGATGTATAACATCGCAATGGAAATGCAGTGCCTGGCTCAGCGATGACCCTGCTGGTTGCATGGCATAGAACTGTTGACTCTCCTCAAAAGAAGCCAACGGCGCATAATTAGACATTTTCCGAAGGAGGGCTGGTTTCAGCTTTTGTTGTTTTGTCCGGGATGTGTGTTGCTTGTCTCTCTGCTGGTGTTTTCCTTGTGCGCTTTTGTTTGGCTTTCCACATCCTCATGACCAGCAACGCCCTCATCACCGGCAGTGCTTACCGGCAACCCCCTCCGCATCACTGCCAGGATTGCCTTCTTATGGCGAGGCTGCCTCCCCACCTGAGGGCCATCCTAAAAGCCCAGCCTTCGGTTTAATTATCGCCGAACGGGGAGAAGCAAAAATTGTCAAAACCTGCGCGCGCGCAAGGAGCGCGCAAGTGCGGCCCAAGGGACGCGCAAGCTTACAGTTTTGAAGGGTTTCATGTACTGCTGTTGCCTAGTTTTATGAAAGGAGGTGATATCTTTTTACAGTATTTGTGGTTTTCGAATGTTGCTTGGATCATGTGTAGGTCACAAGCTTGTTTGCAAAGGTGCGGCTTTTTTGCAGTCAGACGCCAAACGATGCCAAAGCTTCTGCGGCCATGACTTGAACAATCAGCACTGACACGACAAAATCCGCGCAAGCCGCGCGCAAGCCTCGCGCAAGTTGCGCGCAAGCACGAGAAGCCCCAGCAAGACATCTAGCCATTTGCTGTCTCGGATGTCCGTAGCGGCGCGGTTCAAGCAATGGATAGGCAGCCGCAACATGCACTTTCCTACTTTCAGGCTGTGTCCAAGCTGTGTGGCAGAGCCTGCTGTCCTTTCCTTTCTGTTGGTCAGGAGTATGTTGCTGGCCTAGAATTGCTGGGAGCAACCTCAGCGGGAAGAGCCTTTGTGGGTTGCTGTGTGAACGACAAACACGCTGCTTAGAAAAGCTTGTGCGCAATCCACACTAAAACTTCGCAAACCGAGGCAAACGAAACCCAGTTTCTGCGTCGCTGTGCGCGCGCAAGTCCGCGCAAGTGCCGCGCAAGTGCGGCCCAAGGACCCAATCCTGGGCAAAGGCATATAGGACAACCCTGAAGCAAGGCCAATATATATTTTTTGTGGCAAAGTTACCACTTTGCAGGTTGCTCAGCAAGAAGCAACCAACAGAAGATGTTTGTTGCATGACAGGACACCTAACTCCAATGACCCGCTGAGTTTGATTACCAATGACCTAATTTCAGATTTGGTTTGGTGCAGTGGGACAACTCGAGTTGTCCTGGTGTTTGTGTTTGTTTCGCCCACCCTCAAACAGGCCCCTGCTCATTGGTTTCGGAACCCCCACGATATCCTCTGTTTGGAAAACAACCTGCCGCAAAAGTCCGGATCCTACCCACTAAAGACCCCACCAAATGAGACCAACATGGATGGGGGCGATCAGCCATTTGTCACCAGCCCAAGCCCAAGCAACCAGGAACAGAGATCACCCAGTTTGGCGCAAAGAAACCCTAGACTTGCAAATCGTCAACCTCTCCCAAAAAGCCCTGATGTTTAATCCACCTTTTAGGGTTGCTTGTGAATCTGCAAAGGTATCGATCTACCCCAACATGGCCATTCGCTTTCTTCGTCAGGTCAGCGACGGACCCCTAAGACATTTTTAGCAAGCAAGCAATCCAGCAAGCAGGCAGGCAGGCAGGCAATCCAGCAATCAACCAACCCACCCAAACCAACCCAAACCCCAACCCAAACCATCCCAAACCATGCTGTCCACAACCGCCTGCGCCACGGCCAATCACCAGCTTTCGCGTCTTCAACTTGCAACAAAAGAGTGTGTGTGTGTGTGTGTGCGTATGTGCGTATGTGCGTATGTGCGTATGTGCGTATGTGCGTATGTGCGTATGTGCGTATGTGCGTATGTGTGTTTGTGTTTGTTTGTGTGTGTGTGTGTGCTTGCTTGCTTGCTTGCTTGCTTGCTTGCTTGCTTGCTTGCTTGCTTGCTTGCTTGCTTGGTTGGTTGGTTGGTTGGTTGGTTGGTTGTTTGTTGTGGGAAGGCACCCTTTTGGGCTTTTTTCAGGGACTCCAAAAGTAAAGCCACCAACGTGTCACGCGCTCGTAGGCTGAAGTGGCGGATAGGACCACTTTCTGTGATACCAAGGGCACCTGTTGAAAGTAAAGTAGTTATGTCTCGAAAGGGTGGTTTGGATTGGGGTTTGGGGGTTGTGGGGTTGGTTTCCCATTTACCCTCTACAAGAACTAGGCGTTCAAATGCCCAAAGCCAAGCTAATCCACTAGGGGCTACCTGATAGGTATCGCAGAAAGTGAAACTACGCGCAGGTGTTCCAGCACACGGACGCACTTCTTGGTCCTTTCCATCCTGAATGTCTTCCTTCTCATGTGACCCTGTCGATGTGCTTCTCATGGAGCACTTTGAGTTGTCAGGTAGGGTGAAAGGCTGCTTGGGCCAGGGTTGCAAATCGGTTCAATTACACTGGCAGATCTGGAAGGCGGGTTAAATTACCCAAAAGAGATTGAGTCATCATGTTCACCCAGTGTGTGCTCACTGCTCAGATGGCCATGCGACTTTGAATCCTCGAGATGTTGAGGCCACCCCAACTGACCACAGGCTCACACGCCAAGGTTTACGGCGTCAACATAGCATCCACCCAAACAGCCTAACTCCCTTGCTTTCCTCGATTTCCTCCAACACAGGCCTTAGTAAGGCAATATCAAGGGAGGGTACGGCTGGACAAATGACCCATTGCTTCCAGATCACGAACATGAATTTCATGATGCTCATGTTGCACAGGGCAAGCGGCATCCTTTGCAACGACCCCGATAGCTATTTCCCACCCTGCGACATGGGCTTTGTTGAAGCGGCTACCCTTCCAGTCCTATGTTCCCCCCGGGTCAGAACTCATTTTCGCTGGGCAAGGCGGCTATTTAGCCGCCCAAGGTTCGTTTGCCCGGGGAAGGGCTGAAAGACTCGACTCACGCAGCTTGGCTTAGCAGCCGTGGGCCAACTCACATGCGAGAAAAGAGGCCTCATGTTGCCCATGCAGCCGGGTAAGTTGAACCCATATCAGTCAACCCCTGTTGATTAATAGGGGGTGTCCCTGGGTCTAGTGGGGATTCATCAACATTAACACAGACCCACCCATGGTTTGGCCCATGTTCTGACTTCTGACACAGACTTGCGACAGACGAATTGACCTTTGCACCTGGTTGAACTGGCAGGCCATATGCTTTTCCGGCCCTACCCTTACAGGGGATCTAAGCTCTGCCCAGATTTCTGGCCGTAGAAGAAACATAGCCCACCCTATCCCCAAGAAAGGTTCTCAGCATATTGCTGACCCGTGCAAGAAGGTTCTAAGCACCTTTCCTCTCGGGTGCTTTGATTCCCTGCGCCCTCAGCAGCCATGCCGGACCGTCTAGTACCCCCCCTCTCCCTGGAGGGCATACAGGAGCTTTTGGCGACACCGACACCCCTTTTCCGCTTCAAGGGTCATGACAACGGGGGGTTGGTGATGCTCGGTGCCCTTTCATTAGCTGGTTGCAGCAAGCTGCAGCCACTTTGCCAAGACAATCCCTTTACATGGGACCAAAAGGGGAGTGCCCCATGTTAATCTCCCGGCCACCTGGCAGGCAAGTTGTATTTCGGTATGTTTTTTTTGGTTTTTGTTGGCGGCTGAAACCAAACCTTCCATTTGCTCACGATGCTTATGTTGGTTTTAAAGGGGATCTACGACCCCCGGACCTGTTTATCACGTCTTTCTCCCAGGGGACACTGAAGAAAACTAAACGGGGTTCGGCTTGCTGACTCCCTTCCACAACGAAACCCTGGATTTATTTTTTTTCCTGTGATACTAACAACGAATGGTTTCCACCATGGCTTTCAAGTGGTGCGAATTGGATTTCGTCCATCCACGGCATCCCTACTTTTGCTACAAAGTACTTTGACGTTTGCCAGGTTTGGGTTTTCCCCAAATCCCGGAAGGCAAAGTTGGGACTGACTTTGTGACATGAACAGTTGCCACAAGGGCTAAGATCAAGGCAAGGTCATAATCTTTCAAAGCTCCATTTGCTTATCTTTTCATTTTCCCTTGTTGGTTTTAAAAGGGGACTCTATCAGCAGCTTCCTCTTGGTGTTTAGCCAGACTGCTACTTCCTGGATTGGTGCTGGGGGTACTTCCCAACCAGCCTGACTCCAGTCCCCTCTTCCGCGCGCTGTTCTATGTCCACTGGGCCCGTTCTTTGTGGTAGTTTCATGGGAGTTTCCGCTGGGGGCGTTGCCTAGTTGTTTTCAATTCCCGTCCCCTCTTCCTTGGCCATGCGTGTGTGTGTGTGTGTGTGTGTGTGTGTGTGTTACCTTGAGGGAACCCTTTTTGAGCGAAAACACACAAAAACAAACATCATCCACGTTGTGTGTCGCCTATTGCAACACAGCACTTTAACATTGCCTTTTCCCAGTGGGACTCCCCACATTTACGTGACCCGAACTGGCAAAACACAACGCTCAACCAGCTCCGGCTTTCCTCTTTTGACGGACTTCAACCGGCTTTATTCCATTTGCTGAAACGGGTGTGTGTCAGAATTAAACCACCAGGGGACCGCAGGTTGTAGTTCAAGTTTCCATTTACCAGGGTTCCATTTTGGGTACATATGTTTGACCCACAGCCAAATGAATATGATTTTATTGTTTCCCCTTGTTGCCTTTTAACGGGAATCTATCACTGGAAAATGGGCGCGTTTTTCATGCGCAGGAGCCGAGTTCCCCTCTGAGCTCCCTGCCTCCGCTGCTGGTCAAGGCGGGACATTTCGACGCCAAAGACACCGAGTGGGTGGCTTCCGCATGGTTTTGTTTGTTAACGCAGGGAAATGAATCAGAAAGGCGACGACCAAAGCGGATAAGAGGCGCCCGTTTTTGTCTCCCATGGCCACGGGGGTTTGGGCTGGTGTTGTTGTTTCTCGTTGCGGTCAGAAACTGGGATTGGTGGCTTTTCACCTACGTAGACTTCAAGGCGAAAATCGTGGGGCCAGTGAAAGCGCAAGGTACTTGGACATAAATCCCTTTTCATGTCCTCCAATGGCCCGTGGCTCAAACATATGCTAGGGGCAAGGTGTGTCAGTGGCAACCATACGCAATCAGGTTACGGTAGTAAACAAAACAGCCCACAGTGAGGACTTGCAAACATGGTAAGTGGATTGTGAATGACTCATGGTTATTCTCCACTTGCAAAAAAGGTAGCCTCCTTCAAGTTTGGGTCCCCTGGGTGCCGACATGCCCATTGCAAACGTTTCGAGCATCACCTTGGTATGACTGCAGGCAGCGGCTCTGACGACAGCTGGCCTTTTGATTGGTTTCACTTTTACCACAACAGCTGAACACAGCAAGCTCTGGAGTGTTTCGGAACGGCTCTGAGTTGAGTTTGCGGAAGGGTTCCAGGGCTGTTGTTCGGAATGCCGCAATGGCCTGCAAAAACTTAACTCTTTGCGCGTGTACGGCGCAGTGTGGTTTTATGAGGGCGTCCTTTTTGGGACAGCGAAACGACACTGACATGGCCATGGACGCCAACAGGCTCATGTCGGAAAAGGCACCGGCACGAGATATGAGAAGCAGCATAATGAATCACCAACATTGTTCTACGATCATGACCAATGTGGCTGTGGGTCAAAACCAATGGGACCATTTTGGGATAGTGGGGTTTGGGATGTTCACTGGGCACCTCACACCCAGCGCTAGGGGGCGCTGACCAGCCTTTGCATCGTGGGTTTCTGGGTCACCGTCAGGCTCATGGCTCCTTGGCGACCGAGTTCGGCCTCATTTGGGTTAGTCTTTCTTGGTGGTACTTGTTGTACCTAGAGTCTCCATGACCCTGAAAAAATGGGTCCACGACCCTTTATTTTGGTTTTTTAAGGGTCATGCAGACTCCAGGTAGTTTTTCCTTTTGGAAGGGGGGGGGTAAAAGAGAAACCAACAGGACAACTGCCATTGTGGACGGGAATCTCAAAAAAGGCACCCATTTCGTCTCCCTCTCTCTTCCCCTCCCTTCCATAATGGAAGCTGACAGGAGGGTGTTCAAACGCAATCTTGGGCGGTTCCATTAAGTTTGAGGCGGGCTTATCATATCAGCCACAGGGGATTGCAATTGCAGCCTAGTGATCATATCCGCCACAGGGGATTGCAATTGCAGCCTAGTGAGTATCACAGAATTGCAAACAAAATAGAATCAAGGAGAGCCATTCCCATGTTTGCGCCTGCTCTGCACATTGACATACCACTAGCTTCAATTTGGTTCGATTCATTTACGATGCCAATGTGTTCACAAAAGGACACCCACTGAGCAGGTTATAGCTTTGCTTATATTTACTTGCCATAGAATTGTCTGAGTGGGTTGAACATCCAAGTGACACGTCTTTCGATAGACCGTTTGAGTCTTTTCTGACATGTTTCAGCGCCCTACTTCTGCTATCCTATTGAGGCAATTTCAATCCACATGACTGCTTTTACCTGGTTGAATTCGAATCAGACTAACACCTATGTGACGCTAACCGCAGGAGTTAGTACCCCTTCTTGGAGTAGTGTTGAAGGGGAACCAAAGGAGAACCGCCCGATTTGGGGTCTTCCCTAGTTGAAACAACCCCATATACAAGCCTTATAACCACTTTTTTTGAGATTGAGTTGCCTTACCAGAAAAACCCGAGAGGCGTCTATTGGCGCGGGGTGCATGGCCTTATCCTAGGCTTATCCTGGCGTGCACTTCCCCGTGGGTTCTCAAGCTAGTGGACCCCCTTGTGGTTGGTATTTGGAAGGACTGGAAAAGCGTGGGACGTTATGGGCTGCTTTGGTTTTGGCCGCCCAAAAAACCCCAAAAACGCACTCTGAGAAACTCAACATGGACCCAGGGGGGAAACGAAAATGAAGCAAGCTATTCCATGAACAGCAAGTTTGGAGTGAGAAACAATCCCGTGCCTGGGCTTCTCCTCGGCTTATCCTGGCATACACTCCAGAAACATTCTCCCACAGGCCCCTGCGTTTTTTTTTTCAGGAGAGCCACAATGAAAAGCCGGGTAGATGAAGGTTAGGGGACAATCCCAACCACAAATCGCTGCGGCCTTTGTATGTCCTTACCTTGACTGCTATTGGGTTGGATCTTTAGACTTCAACTTTTTGGGAATTCAAGGGGGTTTCCACTAAACCCCCAAAAAGTTGTTCACTTTTTGCAGGAGGGTCAACAGCACCCAAGTTACATGGTTCTGGGATTAGGACCATTTGAATATTTGGAGCAAGTGACTCAGGAGGAGTTCGGGGACGTGCTCAAGCCCTTGATCTTGGCCATGATGCTCACTGGCTGCCTGGAGAGGGCGGTGGAACTTTGCAGCTCGGACCCAACGAGAGAGATTCACTTGTGAGTTTTTTGGGGAAGCCTGCATTGGGGGGGTGGAAAAGGGAAGCCAAGAAAAAGCATCAAACCAGCAAGGGGCTTGTGAGACCAGATCATGACATGATATATGCCTGTTTTTGTTGGCTTGTCTGTAGTATTTGACTCGCTGGAACATGTGCGTGTGTATGTGTGTGTTCTTGTCGCGTGACTGCATCCAATTTGTTTGGCCCCTCGCACCATCGCGAGGTTCATTCAGCCCCTCGCACATGACGTCATGTCACCTGCCCTCAATACGTTTGCCCTTTCGGTCTTCGTCACGACGCTGTGCAGTGGAAATCGATCTCGGCTTCGGCAAACTTTGGTCACAGAGTGGCGGTTAGACAGCTCGGGACGGCTCAAAGACCCATGAATGATCTTTCCTTGCATGTTTGTGTCCTGAGACTACTGCACCTCTTGCAAATGGTTGATTTTTCGAAAGCCACTCGAAAGGGTTTGTGTCTCAGGTGCACTTGGCGACTTGAATGCGCACAGAAGAACCTTTTCGCGCCATGCATGTGGATGTCTATTTGCCTAGTGGAGATGGTTTCTCCATAGCAGTCTCACCGGAGACGCCCATCAGCGAGCTGAAGGCTGCCGCGCAGCAGCATTTCCAGCGCCGCTTGAAGCTCACTGCGAAAGGCCAGCAGCCCGATTTGAGGGCCACGCTGAGTGAGGCCGGGTTGCGAGATGGGGATGTGGTGAATGCGGTTGTGCAGCTTGACAAACTGGCTTCCACAAGCTGGGCGTTCGCTTGGCATGGTGACGAGGTTGCGACCTGGGGTGATCCAGGATACGGCGGAGACAGCAGCCAGGTGCACAAGCAGCTGAGGAATGTCCAGCAGATCCAAGCAAACCTTTGCGGTGCTTTTGCTGCCATTCTGGAATCTGGAAATGTTGTGACCTGGGGTAGTGCAGACAAGGGCGGAGACAGCAGCCAGGTGCAAGCGCAGCTCAGGAGCGTCCAGCACATCCAAGCAAACGACAGCGGTGCTTTTGCTGCCATTCTTGAGTCTGGGGTTGTTGTGACCTGGGGTGATCCAGAAAACGGCGGAGACAGCAGCCAGGTGCAAGAGCAACTGAGGAATGTCCAGCACATCCAAGCAACTTACGGTGCTTTTGCAGCCATTCTTGAATCTGGGGATGTTGTGACCTGGGGTGATCCACAGCTTGGCGGAGACAGCAGCCAGGTGCAAGCGCAGCTCAGGAGCGTCCAGCGCATCCAAGCAAACGACAGCGGCGGTGCTTTTGCTGCCATTCTTGAGTCTGGCACCGTTGTGACCTGGGGTGATCCAGGATACGGAGGAGACAGCAGCCATGTGCAAGAGCAACTGAGGAACGTCCAGCAGATCCAAATCACTGGCTCTGCTTTTGCAGCCATTCTTGAATCTGGGGCTGTTGTGACCTGGGGTGATCCAGAAAACGGCGGAGACAGCAGCCAGGTGCAAGAGCAACTGAGGAATGTCCGGCACATCCAAGCAACTTACGGTGCTTTTGCAGCCATTCTTGAATCTGGGGCTGTTGTGACCTGGGGTGATCCACAGCTTGGCGGAGACAGCAGCCAGGTGCAAGCGCAGCTGAGGAACGTCCAGGAGATCCAATCAAATCACTGTGCGTTTGCTGCCATTCTTGAATCTGGGGCTGTTGTGACCTGGGGTGATCCAGAATACGGCGGAGACAGCAGCCAGGTGCACAAGCAGCTGAGGAATGTCCAGCGGATCCAAGCAAACCTTTACGGTGCTTTTGCTGCCATTCTGGAATCTGGAGATGTTGTGACCTGGGGTAGTGCAGACAAGGGCGGAGACAGCGGCCAGGTGCAAGAGCAGCTGAGGAATGTCCAGCACATCCAAGCAACTCGCGGTGCCTTTGCTGCCATTCTTGAGTCTGGTGCTGTCGTGACCTGGGGTGATCCACAGCTTGGCGGAGACAGCAGCCAGGTGCAAGCGCAGCTCAGGAGCGTCCAGCACATCCAAGCAAACGACAGCGGCCGTGCTTTTGCTGCCATTCTTGAGTCTGGCACCGTTGTGACCTGGGGTGATCCAGGATACGGAGGAGACAGCAGCCATGTGCAAGAGCAACTGAGGAACGTCCAGCAGATCCAAATCACTGGCTCTGCTTTTGCAGCCATTCTTGAATCTGGGGCTGTTGTGACCTGGGGTGATCCAGAAAACGGCGGAGACGGCAGCCAGGTGCAAGAGCAACTGAGGAATGTCCAGCACATCCAAGCAACTTACGGTGCTTTTGCAGCCATTCTTGAATCTGGGGCTGTTGTGACCTGGGGTGATCCACAGCTTGGCGGAGACAGCAGCCAGGTGCAAGAGCAACTGAGGAATGTCCAGCACATCCAAGCAACTTACGGTGCTTT